AAATGACATCAGTTTCCATAAACATTCGAGCTTATATGCCAGCCTGCAATCGCACGAACTACAGGCAGCCGTGAACTAACGTCCGAACATGCGAAACAATGCAGACAGGCCATAAAAGAAGTTCTTAAAGAGAGAAGAGCAAGAGTTATTGTCAATGCTGTAGAGGCAGAGAAAAGCATTCGCAAAGCCCACCGAAGGTTCGCCAATTACAAGAGACCAAGATGATTGCGCTCCGATTCCCAGACGCAACAGTTACAGCGTCCAGGAAGTTAATGAAGAAATAGTTCCCAGGATCGACTTTCTCTTAACCTCGGCACTGGAATATGAATGTGTCGTTTTCTTGTTCAGCAATCGCGAGGTTTTTAAACAGCATACATCTTTTTGTAAGTGTTATTGAAGCGTTTGGCCTAGTAGATTGTATATCAGTATACCCTTCCAGACTCTGAAGAAGGCGATACTGCCGAAACGTCAGCTAGCGTTGTATTGTCTTGTGTTTTTCTATGGAAGTAAATGTATGCTGTTTAAAAACCTCGCGATTGCTAAACAAGAAAACGACACATTTAATGAAGAAGTTTGTTTACGAATACTACTGCTATCTCTTCAATAGCTGTATCGTCCTGCATTCATGCCAAATAAAGGAATGAGGATTTGTCGTTCCATCGGTTTTCCCTTCTGCTATTTCGTGGGTGCAAAATCAAACAACACTCTTGTTCGGAAAGAGTAGGCCTGAGCAGTCAAAGAACTTCCTGCCAGTCCTCATCACCATACTTGATCAACTTTCCACGCATTACCTGCCATAATATAGGATTCCTATCCAGTGGAAAGCCAACAAAACAGTGTTATTGCCCAAGAAGAGTGGGCTCCACGATATCAGCAACCATCGGTGATTCTGCATGTTCTCTCTCGTCTATAAACTTCCGGGTCGTCCAGAAAAGGATTAATAGGACACTGGGCCAAGGAGAGCCATGTAAGCAAACACGCTTTCACGAAGATTTCAGTACGGTGAACTACATTCACACGATGACAGAACTTATTGAAGTAACGCGAGAGTACAAGAGACCTTTCTGTCTCACTTTTATCGAATTAAGGAAAGTTTTGACCCATTTGAGATAGAACCCGTAGTGGAAGTGCTAGACAACAAGTGCGTCCCTACTCAGTTTATAAAGATTCTTCGGGATCTGTATAAAAGTTTCACATATCACCGCTCTCTAGCGATACTTAACTAAGCCTCAAAAATGGGTTAGGCGAGGCTACACCATTTCGCCAAGTGTATACCGGCACCATTGAAAACGTGTTGGGAAGATTCTAGTGCGACACAGGAGTGAAAAACAATGGAAGATCGATAACCGGGATATTCTCAATGAAATCCTCTCCTCATATGATAGGCAGACAAAGGAGGATCCGTTCGATGACAACAAGCTGTTTGTCGAAGAACTTAAAATTTATGACAAATCCCTTCAAGCACCTTAAACAGCAAGTTTAGACCACACCTCTGTCACCGCTAACCAGCCGCTTGAAAGAAGAACGAAACTCAAGGTTTATCCTCCTATAACACACCTAAAACGGGTAATAATTAATGCCAGGCTTAGTAGAGCTTTACAGTAACATTTTACAACGATATAAGCAAGAAAAGCTATTGGAAGCAGCTCAAAAACGGTTCAGTTTAAAAAAGGGCCATCGAGATCTATGCGAATGCAATGCTCCGCTATCCGGTCTGATGAGCAAAGATAAGACTATCGCTGCATCTTGTCGTGATATGGAACTGATAGGAGAGAAGTTCTGCACTAAGCTTTTTTGTTCCACAATCACCTTATAGGACCCGAAATCGCTCGAAAAAAGTGCATGGCATTCTACTGCCTGAAATTCGAATTGGGGCACAAAGCATTAAGAGAAGAACAGCTCGAAAGCCAGGAAATATGATCGCAAATTCCCTGGGAGCTGGAAATTACTTGCATTGTTTCAGATGACATCTGGTCTTCGAAAAGAAAGAACCCCAGAACAGTGGAGATAGTTGCGCGCGGTCAGCCTACCTATAAAAGGTGGCCGGAGATATCTTCATAACTGCCGCCCAAAATATGCTGCTTAAGTGCAGTCTACAAGCTGTTTACGAAGATTATCTTTTTGCTCATATGAAATACCTCGGATGAGGCACACAACCCGTTGTGAAAGCAGGATTCTGCCATGCATTTAGCTTCATGGGTCACATCCAAACCGCATCACAGGCTATAGGTGTCCAAGCAAGAGGACAAACATTATGGCTTCATACTTAAAGCTCGATGCGAAATTTTCGATGCCACATACAACTTTCTTAATAACTGTGGTGCTGGTCCAGTTAAAAGCTTTACAGGTTTGTAGAAAAGGTACACAATAGATGTGCACATATAAGTTATATTTATAAAATGCTCCTTCAATTTTAAATTTTCCTAGGCTCCATATTGGTGAAAAACAGAGAGCGAAATCTATTTTGTCAGCGTAAATGCGGCAACGACCAAACATCAAAGATTATTCTTCATTGTTGTTTTTTGGAATATTAACATCAGCCTAATAGAGCGATAAAGTGCATTTCATGGGCTTAAGAACATTACAGCTTCATCTTAGTAGAAAGAGAAAACTTGTTGGCAAAAACCTGTAGGCCTTAGTTGTATTTATTCCAACTACCAAATTTTAATAGCCTCTATACAGGCTGAGAGGTGAAAGACGCAATTATTTTCGAGCACGTTGAAATCAAACTCGAGTCGCATCTGTAGAAACCAATTGTCGAAGTCCGAAAGGTTAAAAGTCCTCACTAATTTTAGAAAACTTAAGATTTTAGTGAAATTTATGTCTTTTTCACTATAAAACTAAAATCTCCAAATTTTCGCTTTACAACACTGCGATAGAGTTATCGCGCTAATCGTTTATTCGGTCTATCATAATTATTGAACTTTGATAACATTTTCTTTTTGGGTAAAATTCTGTGCCCGAACAATTTTTTTGGGTACAGTTTAGGTTCTTTCGCTGCAAAATTTGCTCAACAAATTCTCATAGTCGATAGCGTAGTGTTCATGCTGTGTAACAACAGTCTTACGAGAGATTGTTGTCGGATGAGCGCCGTCTCACCAGCTGATTTCGACTTGAAACCTGCACATAATATACATACACATATATATTATATGTATATATTATTCACTGCCACGTTTACAGTCATCACTAGTTTTTTCATTATGCTTGCGATAATTTCCATTAGCATCCCTCAAGTGAAGGTGTACGCGTTGGCCTCCGGAAACTGTTGTAGGGTGTTCAAACCCAGCGCAGACACCTGAGGTTCGGAATTTTGCAAATATATCAGCATCATTGTATTTGAACTATATAGTACCTTGTCGTGAAAAAAGCATGGTGAGCAGTAAATAAAAAGTAAACATATTAATGGTTGGTTTCTCTGCTGTAATCACAACTCACAGTGACTTTCCATTAATATCCTTCATGGTTGTTTATTCTCACAAAATTCTCGACTCTATCGTAGCTCGAAAACAATCTGGTGTAATTCTAACTAGCAGCACCTCTTTGCCCTGCGCGCTTGCCACAATGTAGCAACAGGCATGCCATTGCTGCACTTTGTTCCCCCGTTTGTACCTTGTGACTAGAAGCCGGTTCTTCTGCCTATCATTATTTCCTTCTTCATGATTTCTCTTTCTTGTTGCTCTGTCTTATACCCAGAAATAGTTCGCTTTCGATCACCATGTTTATCTGAGAGCTTAGGAACCATTTAGGTCTCTAGGACTTTCATCTCATTCTTTTTGGCAACAATATTCATGAATTTTTATTGTTTTCTAAAATTCCTTCTTCTTTCTGTTACAGATATGGACTATGCTAACCGTGAAATTAATGGAAAACCTCTTTATGTAACAGTGGTCATTTTCTTTCTTAAGGTTTGTTTCAGCTACTCACATATGTTGTTTTGAGCTTTCTTTGATGCTTGGATGCTTAAATGACTAAAAGTGGGTGCTATTCCTGAATAATAATGCGAGCTTCAAAACAATTTTTGCCTCACTAGTATTTTTATTACTGGGGTGGCCGTTTTTCTGGAGAGACCATGCCACCCAGTTCAGAGGTCGACGCGTCGTCACCGTTAAGTATTGCAAGCAGCTGTGTAAGGGTTGTTATCAAGTTGTCATCAATGGCAGACACCTATCTCAATCCGACATTTAAGAACATTTCTAAAATTAAATTAAGGATTTGAAATGTTGAGCGGAGGTGGGAAAATGTAGAAGAACAATCTATGTAAGGACGAATTTACTCTTGCTGGGCTCTTCTGCTTATCGCCCGTCAGCCGATACTCGTATCTCGACAGTGTAAATTCTATACTTATGGGTTTACAAGCAATTTCTAATAACAAGGGCTACATGACAACGTTCTAATAACGCTTTCTTATCTAACAAAGTTAATGGTTGTTTGAACTCTTAATTGTTGAATTCTCAGAATAAATGCGGATAATCGGTTTTTATTCGAATGCAGTGGAAGAAAGTTGCTTTAACTACAGCGTGAGATAATCGGTTTTTATTCGAATGCAGTGGAAGAAAGTTGCTTTAACTACAGCGTGATATATGGGCTTAAAACTAAGCGTATTGTAGCTCAGTTCGTTGGATTACGCATCGCTTTGTAACTAGAAGATTTTGTCCGAACCTACACCAAAATAATTTTGAAATAGAAAGAGTAAATTTTGAGTGCTATGAATACAATACTCATGCTCAATCCACTGTAGATGTTGTTTGACAAAACGTTCTAAAATGTCTGTTTTGAATAGTCCTTCACCATTCTTATTTCAATTGAAATTCACCGACTTTGTTCACCTTTAAATTGAAACAGGATGTATTATCCAATGTTTGCGCTGAGCTCGCAAAATCGTGAGAATTTAAAAAGTAAAGAAGTAATATGTTATTCATTGCCATGCTTTCTGGTGTGAGTAGCGACAATTTGGGACTTAACGTGGGGAGATTTTTTCGTCACTACAGTATAGAAATATGTTGCAGATTGTATTCTTCATCTACGATGCCATTGTATTCATTCCGTTCAAAATTCTCGCGGATCCGTCGAAGAAGCTAAGTGTGTCAGAACGTATAAAGGTGAGAAGACGGTTGCTTAGTGGGCCAGTAAAGCGAGCTCATGCCTTATTTTAGTAGTCATTACTTATTCGTTTTATTAAGAAAATCCGGTGTTAAGCGATAACTATCAAATCTCAGTTGATTCAGTTTTATTCTCCCAATGCGAATAAATGTAATGAGTCCTAAAGTGACAGTTGCAGCACTACGAGGCCAATGTTTTGATAGCAGCTGCGCAGCGATAAATTGCATCTGTTCTTGGCAATTGTTGAAGCCACTCCTGCTTCTATTTTCCGTTTTCTTTTTTTTAAACTGGCCTAGTAAAACTTACTTACCATCTAATATCTTACGGGATATGTATTCTATTTTTGATGAGCTTACACGAGGTTGATAATGATATTTAATTTCGGCTAACGTTTCGACGTCTTCGTCTTCCTCAGAGCCGATGATCCGAGTCTCTGGTCCTCACTTGTTATTCGTCTCGACGTGGCAGCTTTGCCTTCGTGTCGAGTCAGGTCTTCTTCAGTGAGCCATCTCCTCGAATGAGGCATCCTTACTCAGTGGTGCTCTTTTATACACGATGCTGATGGTGGATATAGTGAAATCTTACGTGTTAATTAAGATTATTTTGACGCATTCGTGACATCGCGATTTTTTGAATGAAAGCTAAAAGAGCTCTCGGCGTTGGTCAATCCCTGAAGGATGCGCCATGCATTCGACTTCATTAAGCATCATCGTAGGAGACTGAATGCATATCTGGCCTTTACAATGACTCGCACTGGCCTACCGATGTATCGATCCAGTGCTGCTATACTCATACACAAGTTTGGTAAAAATTTGTCGACCCCGGAGAGATGGAGGTCTTGGTGGGCCTGAGGAGCAGGGATCAATCCCATATGTATTGCAGAGCCCCTCCGACCGCTGTGCTACACGAGCCCTAAGAAATAATCATAATGGTATGAATCTGAGGATTTTTGGACAATTGGTCAAAATTTTTTAATGACTAGAACAGTAGAGAAAATGAAGGTTTGACATACTCCACATACAACAGAATCTACACAATCATTTCAACGCTACGTTTATTCTTTAATGTATTATATGTGGTTTACATTTTTAGCTTAGAATTGGAAAACACTGATGTGATAAGATTTTTTAAAAGTTTTGGTGTAAGCACGACAATAACCGACATCAGCTATGCTTTCGATAGCACTGTCGTGTTCTGCCGAAAGAGGTCTTCCCTTGTGCGACCAATTCGTGTGCTCTAATAAACTAGAATTTTGTTTTAATAGAATGAATAATTCTGTACCTTGTTGGCATTGATGGATTGATTCTAACCGCTTCGTTCACTAGGCGCAACATTTTTGCTTAGGTTGGATGGTTCTTCACTCTTTCCGCCTACACGCATGGAATTCAGTGGGTCTCATTACAAATATGTTAAAATTTTATAGTTGACGGTTAATATAATAGTAATTAGCAGTAGAAGACAGCTGTAATTAGCATTAGGTGGTAGCGGAGTGGTTAGTAATTCCGTCGATCAAGAACGAAAGGCGCTAGTTCGACCCCATCTCCAACGCTCTCTTCCAATCCAATAGGTATCGACTTAGCACGGCTATCCCCAAGACTGCAGTCTAATTGATCAGCTAGTATTGTACAATTTTCATAAAGAAGAGGAAATCCTCAAGTAGCAGCCGGAGCAACAAGCAGGATCTCGACCGTTGTCGACGGTGAATACAAGAAAGAAGAACCGAATGCAAGAAGTGCTGGGATCGGCGCAGTATATATGACGACGGGTTAGTGGTTATAATTAGTGGTGGTTCGTAGTAGTTAATATTAGCGATTTATGAAGTGGTAAAAGATATCAGGTAGTGACTAAAAATATTGAAACTATGTTGTGTTCTTTCTAAGCTAGCAGGAGGTTGTTAACGGCGGAAATCGCCCAATTTCTAAATTCACAACGTGACAGACTTGCTGTTTTTAGAAAACAAGATAAATTTTTTTAGAAAACAAGATAAATTTTCGATTACCAGAGGTATTGTGATTTCGAGGACATGACAGAATAATAACAGAGATTTTGCTCTATCGCTCTATAGGCATGCATAGCACGTGCGCTGCCATTTACTACGCGATCCCAAAGTCGTTGAGACTACCACCTTGCTGTCAACATTCGGAAGGGTTTTGATGCCTATGTTGAGCTTTATGCTCTATTTCTTACAGGGTCATTCCATACAATAATAATTATTCATCGTAATTTATTGGTAACTGAAATACAGTAACAATAAACTACTGGTCATATGGCCGGTTTTTCACGATCCAACCCTGACCTAACTGCTACCGATTGAATACGAAAAACCGGAAAAAACTCATTTTGTCCCTTTCCCCTACTACGCGTATGTATATAGTACAGTGTATGCCGTGCGTTATAGTTAATACAATGTTCATCCTACAGCAACTGATCTTTAAACAAATTCCAGGACCACCTTTCTATCTGTCTCCACCTTAATGAATAAGTTTGTACGCCCTATATAAGTAAACACGAGGTTGTTAGCCTTTCAGGAACTTATGTATACTTCGGTATTTCTATTACCTATACATCGCATCTGATAACGACAACTAACAGTCCATTGCATGTAAAACTGCATTTCAATGAACTTGGCCGAAAAAACCTCTTTAACATATTTCTAAATGTAAAATAAAGCAATCCCTGGCCGACATTTGCTACAATTTCAGTTTTGGAAAAGCTATCTTCAGTTTATAAGAAGCGTAGGAAATGAGCATTGTATGCCAAAATAAACTATGAGAAAGAGAATGACCCACATAGAGCTCTTATCAGAGCCAGTTGGGACACAGTATATGATTATCTGGAATACATAACGCCCGTTATATTTCAAAGCAATATTTATGCCAGTAGGACTAACGCTTCAGCGAAAATCACTTCATTAAGAGCTTGAAAAGGCTCACGCTGATCTAGTCAGGCAACTTTTTCCATAATCTTGAAGGGAAACTCTTAAAGGCTAAATTTCAATCGCACGTTGAGCATTGTCTTCAAAACATTCATGGTTTTTTGTTTACCTTCCTCTAATTGAGAAAGACCAGGCAAACAGAGTTTGCATCGGTGGGAAGTGTGTTACTCGACCAAAAAATCATCGAAGATGTGGAATGGTACACTAGCATTATTTTCCATTTCATCCCAACTGGTTCACCATTGGGTTTTGGAATTTTTCCAAAACCCTTCAATAATGACCAATGCCGAGGGCAGTATATAGTCGGGTAGATTATAATGTTTCGTCCTAAGTAAACATTTTTGAAACCTTCACATGGCTGGAAATGGAGTAGTTTTTCTCCTGCTACGGATGCTTAAGTAGTACAAGAAGAAAGAACGTTATCTTTAACTGCTAGCTAACAAGAGTCACTGTCATCGAATCAGATTAAAGAGTGTAGAATAAATGGGTTGACAAAGCAGTAAGAATTCTTATAAATTCTCTTAATTGCCAGCAAAGTTACTGCTAGAGGAAAGTAGCCAACGTTTTCAAATACTTTCATACTATTTACCCTTTCATTTTTCATATCATTCAAATATCTGCTGCAAAGATTCCTTATTAATAAAAAAGCGACTTGAAATATAAACAGAAAATTAATCAAGATGTTGCTGAGATATTTGCAAAACTCCGGACCGCATGTGTCTACGGTGGCGAGCGAACGCGCTATTGTCCTTTCCGGGGAGTAACGCGTTCACCACCACACCATACGTATCCTTCGTTTTCCCACTCTCTCTGCTAATTCTGTCGATCAATGCCATCAGCAATCACCTGTCAGCGAAACTGATCTAGGAAACCCAAATCGGCAACGAACCTAGTTAAGCTGAGGCTGAAGTCGAAGTCACAACCTTAACCTTTTTATTCGCTGCCTACTTTAATTTTAAACGAAGGAGCCGCATGGTGTGGTGGTGAACGCGTTGCTCCACGGAAAGGACAATAGTGCGTTCGTTCCCCACCGCGTACACTTGCGGTCCCGAGTTTTGGAAATATCTCAGCAACATCTTAGTTGCATTTCACATGATACCCTGCCGTTAAAAATTAAAGTAGGCAGCAAATAAAAAGGTTGAGAAAATTAATCGTCGGCATTATCCGTCGAATATTATGAGGGATAAAAAAACTTTAAAGCAAAAAAAGTACTTGCACTTTTAATCTAGTGGACAAAAGTCCATCATTCTTTCCGCGATAAGGAACTTAGTTCCAGTTAATGACCTCCATCAATGTGCTTCTAAGTGTAAAACACACTTGGACACTTGGACACCTGGACGGCCCTTCCTCACTGGTTGTGCGGGTTTCAGTATAATCTCCATTTTTCGGAGTTGTAATTCTCTGGAGGTCGTCTGGAGGTCGGCTTGGCCAAAGTCTGCCCCAGCACTACTAGTAGCCGCCGCCTTTGTGGGTCAGAGGGACATTTGCCATCATGCGACTAGTTTCATATCAGAACGGTGGTGGATCCTAGTATCCGTTTAGTCTTAGCTAGGCTTCCTGGTGGAAGCGCCAGACTCCTTCTCAGCTTTGGAGACCCTGCCGAGGGGATGAATCCCCCACTGTACATCGCAGTCCGACACCCAGGAGTACCTCTCAATCACGATGAGGCGGTAATCCGTTTTCAGGTTTGAGTAAAACAACCTCTAAATGCTCAATAAAATTTTCCTACAAATTTTTGCTGGAGCAAATTTGTTTGCTAATTTTATAATAGGATGTTTTATTTTATTCATACCTTTTCTTCTGTATTTGAAGAATTTCCCTATGAGAAACGGTTCCTTTATAATCATGTGATGTAGGAGCCATCGTTAAGATGGTGGTTTATGTCACAGCTTGGCTTGTTTTAATTTAAACATGATTCGTCTTCCTGTCGGTAGGATCCACCACTTTCCTTATTTTCGTGCTCATGCAACCGTCATCTGTGAATGGGCTGGTTCGACCTTGGGTCATACTGCTTATCTGAAAGCTGATTCGAGCAGTGAATGTTGGTCTATCGTACACATGTAACAAACACATAGGCCAATTTCTGCAAATCTCAGTTTAAGTGTTCGATTTTCTAGAAGTATGCTCCAACTTTCTTCTCGCCCACCTGTCATCCTCTGTTTTCACTGCATGTCCAACTAATTGGGAACTATTGTTCGAGATGTATTCTGGTGGATTTCGAAGAATGAAAGTTCTTCCAGGATGTAGGCTCCGATGAATGTTGCTGCATGCGCCGCAAATCCTGTAAAGGACACAACTTAAGTGCCTTCGGTGTTGCACAAAACTTTTTCGATACAGCCAGAATATTTTATGTTTTCCGTGCATGACGCAAAGTTGGAAGAACTGAGCGTCGAATAAGTACACGCCAAGGTAGTGCCCACTAACTTTCTCATCAGCGATCTATGACAGGGACCTTAAGAAGGACCACATTAATCATAGTGTTCTGCATTTTCATTGTTTTGCAATACTACTGAGAAAAGGGTAAAAGTGTCATTGTAAAAACGAAGGTCGCAGATGATTAACATCATCATCACAAACGTGTAACGGTTTCATGTTGCATCCGAGTAGGTGAATATGCCAGCGGCCGCAGTGGCGAGCAATATTTACGAAAATGTGTGGTTCCTTCTTATTCCTATGGTAACCGGAAGGATGGCTGTCGGAAAAAGGTTGTATTGTCATCGTACGTTGACTGCTGCACTTGACAGGTATTCCTTCTTAAATCCCTTCCTTGTCTTAGTGAACTAAAGCGGAAGGTATGGCGTTGTTTTCTATGCTGTCCAATAAATTCTCGTATTGCGTCACTCAGGAAAAGCGTTAGGCGTTCCCAACGGACCACTATGACCATCGAAAGCGCATGGATTCGCACAGCTGAGTCCTTTTACTGATCCACCCCGTTCTACGAAGTTCTTGTTAGACAGACCTTTGTGGATAGTTTGTAGAACTCCCTTTGTAGACAGTTCGGGCGGCATCTGTGAAAATGATTCCTTTTTCACTTCTCTGAACAGAAGAACTGTGCGCGATTTTCTACATTGATTGAATATCTGTTCTCATCGAAGGTTTGTCGTAATTTGTGCTGCTATAAGAACGTACAAACGAGTGCGTAGAGAATTATTCGCGTTATTTTTTAGTCGTTGAGCTACAGGAGGTATCCGCTTTGTTGCTGGAGCTTAAAATTTTGTGGAAAGGGTCAATAGTTGTGTTGTTATGTAGCTGGATGGGTATTTTACATGCGAACATTAAAATTCCAAATAAATATAGCGTAAAATAGCAATCTGGAACAAATTTTTGGAAAAACTGAATTTTTCCATGCTTTACCTCTGTAAAGATGCCCCAACTTAAGCAGTTATCTCCATAATTTGACACGAATGGAAAGTTTTGTTGTCCTTTTTGCAGAAACACCTAATCATTGGTACTACGAAATCTATTATAACCTGTGCTACTTTTTTCCTCGCTTTAATTTTTCTCTTCTGAACTGATTTCTGCATTTTGTTCTCCTTCAAGTACAACATTGCGAATTTTCAATTTGGAAGCTTTGTAATCACGTCGTCAAAGGTATCTTCGCTTAAGGCTTCGCGTGTTCATGCGAATGACCCTTGTTCGCCGTGGAGAAATATTAATGCGGTCGATGGAGAATTGGTTACAACCACATTTCCACACTGCAAAACTATAGGTGATCAATGGGATGAAAGTGTTAGGTATGTAAATATCTTAAGAAAATATCGGAAATTTTTCTCTTAGCCTAAAAACAGAAAAATTTGCTTTCGTAGTAAATGTGGTATTATTTGATGTACTTCCATTGTTTTGTTCCTAAGCTTTTTTCTCTAATCATTTGCAGGACCACAAGGCATTCATCTTTCATTCTGAGCGGATAAAGAGATAACGACCAATTATGTAGTTATTAAAATGATGCTGAGATAATTCGTATAATGCAGAGATATTTGCAAAATTCCGGACTGCAGGTGTCTGAGGTGGGGAACGAACGCGCTATTGTTATTTCCGGGGAGTAGCGCATTCACCACAACATCATGCGGGTCCTTCGTTTCGCCTGTCTCCCAGCTCGTTCTATCGATCTTTTGCCGTCAGCAATCACCCGTCAGCGAGACTGATCTGGGGAGCCCAAATCGGCAACGAACCCAGTTAAGCTGAGGCTTTAGTTAACTGGGTTTAATGCCGATTTGGACTCCCCGGACCAATCCCGCTGACGGGTGATTACTGACGGCAAAAGATCGATAGAACTAGCTGAGAGACAAGCGGAACGAAGGACCCCCGTGGTGTGGTGATGAACGCGCTACTCCCCGGAAAGGACAATGGCGCGTTCGTTCCCCACCTCAGACACCTGCGGTCCGGAGTGTTGAAAATGTCTCAGCATTATACGAGTTATATTTCGCAACATGCCTTGTCGTTAAAAAGAATAGGCAGTAAATAAAAAGATTAAGACGCTGAGATAATTGCAAAACTCGGACCCAAAACCTGATTCGAGCCCGTGATTACCCCTTCCGGCAGCACACGTGCTACCCGCTGCACCACGAAAGCCCTTGCTTTACTATACTCTCACTCAGTTTTCTACCCTAACGGTATCATCAACATTGTTTACCACATAATGCCCTGCGAAGAAATAATAGTAGAAGCCAGTTGAAGCGCCTTTGCTGCGCAGTAGGTAACACGTGTGCCCCTGGAAAAGGTAATCGCTTGTTCGAACCTGGCCTGGAATCCAAGTTTTGCAAATATCGCAGAGTCGCAATGGTTGTCTACATACTGAGAAAAAGTTTTCTTGAAGTGGAATGGGGAAAAATTTGCGTAAAATATGTCTTTTTTTCAGGAAATTTTCAAATAGTGATTGCTTCGGTACTCGTGAGGTCCTGTGCATCCATAAAGAAAAGCAGAAAAATGGGAGGATTTTCGAAAAGGTATATGAATGAGTCAATAAGGTAGAAGTTGGTGGATTGTTTTGCTGAAATTTCCAATCCGAAGTGTTTAAGTGGGAAATGGGTGAATATCACTGGCGAACATATGGAGCTGTTGACAACCGCGTTAACCTTGTAGCATCCGCTCTTTCTTCACTTGGTTGTAAGGTGCTCTAAGAGTGGCTTACGTTATTAAATTCCGTAACTTTTTTAACTTTTTAGAAGCACGACAAGGTAATTATTTTTGCCGAAACGAGGGAAGAATGGATGACCACAGCTTTGGCGTGTTTTAAAAGCTGTTTGCCGGGTACGAAGCGACAATTTTTCATCGTTTTCAAACGCTTAAAACTGTTCAATTCACTTCTGTTCCCTAGTTAGCATATTTTTATTTACATAATTCACTAACCGACTGTTGGGATTTTGTTATAGTTGTTACTGTGTATGCAACGTTAGGAGAGGAGGCCGTGAAATTTGCGATTAAAGAAGTGGTCGCTCATATTCTGTTCACTTCTGAAAGCCTTCTTCCTAAGGTATACACTATTATCGTTCTTCTGTTGATATCATCGCTTGCTTAAATGATCATGGGAAACAGTTTTGAAGATGAGAAATTCGTAATAGGGTGCAGTAGTGTTGCAGGTTCAAAAGTTAATAAATAACGGCTTGGATGTAAAGACAGTAATTTATTTCGAAAGTCCGGATCCTGAAAATACCCAGCATTATGAGCAGGAAAGCGTGGAAATGTTATCATTCACTCAACTGCTTAACATGGGAAAACGTAAGTTTAAGCTTCACAAGTATTACTAGAGTGTTGTCTCTTATAATCGAATGAAACAATTTCGTTCTTTTATTTAATATTGATTACTTTTCCACATCAAGATTGTTTGCGCACAAATGGCTAGCGCGCATTTTTTGAGCCAAAAAATCCCGATGTAATTTTTCAGCAGGTCCAATCGAAAACAAGGCTTCTCCACAAGATTTAGCAGTTATTATGTACACTTCTGGAACAACAGGAAATCCGAAAGGAGTGATGATCTCTCATGAAAATATAGTGGCGGCCGTGTCTGGACAGTGCGAAGTTGTTCCCACTATGTAGGTTTAACAACGCACTTTTCAAGATAAAATAGCGTTTGCGGGTAGCGTGCTATTCTGATGTTTTCCATATGGTGAATTTCTTCATATTGGATTGCCATATTCTAACTTTCAAGAAGTGGTTGTTTCCGTAGCTGTATTTTCCAGAGTTCATTTAAACCGATGATAAAAAGTCATAAAAGTCATAGTCACTGTCGTACACGCCAAGATCTCCAACCTGGCATGTGGTTTGTCTCAACGTCCAACCACTGGAGAAATGCAGCAGTGTGTTGATTTCCGTGAGAGCTATACGGGAGGGAACCCAGATGCGGTGATTTGAATTGTTCACGAAGTTATTAGAATCGAAATGCGCTACATGATCTGTCCTTTGAGAAATAGGAACTCAGTGGACAAACTTGGCAAACGACAGGCTTCTCGAATGACTGATAATTATTGGTAATGTAGAGTAGATGAATATTTGTGAGCAAAAGTTTCGATAGCTCTGGTGTCTTAAAATGAAGTGTTCGTACGTTTTCCAATCTAGGTGAATACCACAATTTAATAAGAATTTCGTAGAACACCATGCCTCAAAATTTACTTAATGGTGAACGAATTTTTACCATCAGTTCTTGTCACGCATGCCAGCTCTCTTCTCCGCGCTTTGAAATGTAAAATAGGGATATTGATTGAACTAAGTTCAAGAGGCATGCACTTTTCGGCACTATCGCTTTTTTGACTACTAAGTTGCATATATATGTTAATTATGAGTTTTAATGATTTATGATGATATATCGTTACAGTCCAACCGATACTTATATAGGATACCTTCCTCTGGCACACATCCTGGAAGTCTGTGGCGAATTAGCGACGATTACAAAGGTAAAGCATACTATTGATGTGTATTGGCTAGAGATCCAATTTTCAGGGTGTGCGCATTGGTTACTCGTCAGCACAGCTGTTATTTGACAGTGCTCCAAAAATCCAGAAGGGCACAAGAGGAGACTGCTACGCTCTAAAACCAACTTTGATTGCTTGTGTACCAGTGCGTGAACATGCTGTCTTTTTTAAACGACTTTGTTGAGTTTTACACCACATCGCAGTGATTAAGGCTGTGATGGATCGCATTTATAAAGCCGTAATGGATGAAGTGAACGCGGGGGGTCTACTCTTTCGTGAAGTATTTCGTGCCTGCTATGAAAGAAAATGCGAACGATATGAGGAAGGCTACAACACATTCATACTTAACAAGTGTGTAACCGCAGATTTCAGTTTGAAACAGATTGATGGTTGTCATTGGCTTGCGTGAAGCACTAACGTAATATTTCCAGTTTGATGCCGTATAACTTAAGCTACTGATTCAATTCATACGCGCGACCAATTTGAAAATAACGTATTATGATTGCAGAATAGTCCTTCATTTCTTTTTTGCCTTCAGACTTGTGTTTAACCGAATTGGGAAGTTACTAGGCGGTAAAATCAGATGTGTGTTGTCCGGCGGAGCTCCACTCAGTCCTGAAACTCAAAGGTGTTCTAGTTCCTAAGAGACATTCCACTAGTTTTTATCTCAGTTGGAATTAGAATGTTTGCTAGTTTCAGGTTTATGAACATTTGTTTTTGTTGTCCTGTAGTTCAAGGGTACGGATTGACAGAAACATGTGGTGGAGGGACATTGGCAGACGGCATGTGTATTTTAACCTAGAATTGCTTTTGATTCTTTCAAGAAGACATTGTTTATCTAAAGAAGCTTCTAGCTCTTGTATATTTCCACTTAGCGAAAGTGACTTAGTGTCAATGAACTTTTCATTTTTCAGTTCATGACTTGTCGACTGGAACTGTTGGACCTCCTCTTACATGTTGTGAAATTCTCCTTGAAGAATGGAAAGAAGGTATTCTTATTCGGTTTTTCCTGAGTAAATCATGCTTGCAATTTCAGTTGTATTACAATGTTTTTCTTCCTTTTTAGGTTGCACGGTTAAAAAATATTATTTTCAGCTGGATACTCCCCGTTGAATGAAAATCCTCAAGGAGAAATTCTTATTGGTGGAAGAAATGTAGCATTAGGATATTTCAACAATGCTGAGAAGACAAAAGTGAATACTGCTAAGCATAAAATATTCTATTTCATTACAGGACATCCTATTTCTATTTAACACCATAATTTTACTTGTTGGGTGAATGAGTACTTCTTTGCTCAGTATATGTTTACTCTAATTCGTGGTTCAGGAAGATTTCGTATATCGTAATAACAAGCGGTTTTTTGCCACCGGAGATATTGGAGAATTCAGAAAAGATGGATCGTTGAAGATAATTGGTGAGGTGGTGTACTGTGCATTTTACAAAGTATCACATGGTGTAAACTATATATAATTCTTTTGAACTATTTAAATTTTCGTCTATGATGGGAAACATGAAACAGCTTAAGCATCGGCATTCCTTTTTCACTTTGTGCTTTCTGTCGCAGAGGTTAAAGCTTAAGGGATTTAAGGAACTATGAGCAATAGTACAAGAGATGCATTCAAAGATGAACCAACCACTGTAAGAAAGTTATCGTATCCAACAAATTGCAACCAAAATTACATAGCGCGATCTTCTCATAGGCCTGGTTCGCGTTGCTTTGGAATTTGTGTTCACCATGGCGCATTCTATAGTGATGGATCAAAACATTGTTGTTAACAAATCGTTTTAAACATGATGTGTTCTTCTACGTACGCAAATTTTTTAGATCGAAAAAAAGATCTGCTGAAGTTAGCACATGGGGAATACATATCTCTGGGAAACGTTGAGACTCACATCCTTACAAATCATGGCATTGATAACGTGTGCGTCTTTGGAGACTCAACGAAGGACTACCTCGTCGCTCTGATTGTACCTCATGAAAAATACCTCATTAAGTTAGCCGAAGAGGTAAGTTTGTTGCCTTTACATGAAATCAATGTCTGCTCAAAATTTTCCGGACATTTAGCTTTTTAGGTCTTACTTAATTTCATGGACATTTGATTAACTGAAGATTTTACAATCGGTACATTATTTCGACACAGCATAATCATTTTAATGATTAAATTTTTATTCTGTTTCATATTGTTTCTTTTATGGCAGGGTATTATATGAAATACAACTGAAATAATGCTGATGTCTTTGCAAAATCTGGACCTCCACCGATTCGAACCAGCGACTAACCTTTCCGCGGGCTCACGCGTTATTCATTGCAACCGCCCTTTCCCTTGTTTTCAGCTTGTTCTTTACCTAATGGTGTTATCTGCAATAACTCGCTAACGGAAATAAGCTGTGAAGGACAAATCGGCATTCAACCCAGTAAAGCTGAAGTCGTTGTGGAAATTAAAATGTTTAACTTTTTATTCCGCAGCCTATTATTTTTCTCACTGCAGGCTAGTACAGCCACAATGATGTTGAGATTTCTGCAAAACTTGGACTGAGTCCAGATTCGAATTTCGGATTACCCTTTCCAAGGTTTATGTGTTAACAACTGTACCAATGAGGCGCTTGCTTTGCCTTTCTCTCAGCTTGTTCTCTACCCTAATTACACGTTTATCTTTTTCATTTTTGTTCTTTTTTACCCTATCTCAATATCATTGTGGTTGCATTTTCTCGGTTGTTTCTTGGAAGTTTAGTGAGCAAACAACAATCTCAGTGGGTTATGTAATTCAAATAAGCCTGTTTTCACCATATTTAGTAGAGAAGTTCAAGGTCTTCTTTCGTGATTGTAGTGTGAAGAAGACGTGAAACTCTCGGAAACACTGAAGCAGCGAAAGAAACATTTCATTCACTTATTAATTTCTCAGTTTGATCGTAGACACTTTCGTTATTGTTTTCCAAAGACGAAGAAATTTTCCGAAAGAGGCGCCTATCCTCGAATAAGCCAATAATTTTTTTTTAGTTTTCATTGCCAGAAAATGACATGGAGAGCCTATGCAAAGATAATACGATAATTGAAGCAGTTTTGAAGGATATTCAATCTCATGTAGCAGGTGAATCTTAATTACAGTTGTGCATTTTATCTAGAACTATTTTGTCGCACAAATGCAGTCAATTAGAACATCCTTAGTAGATGTCGCTTTCCACTGGCAGCAGCAAATTTCAGGAAAACTGCAAAAAGTGGAGATTCCAAAGAAGATTTTCTTATGCTCTGAACCATGGACGCCACACACAGGACTAGTTACTGAAGCACTGAAACTTAAACGAAAGGCTATCGAAAAGACTTTCCGTAAAGAACTGGATGAAATGTATAGCTAGACTTTGAATTCGACCAATCACTGTCTATAATTGCATATTGGAAAACTGCTAAGGGTTTTGGTACCCAATCATTCGCAAATAACTGCTCATTAATACCGAACCATTACATACCTCATTTTCGATGTATATATATATATATACGCATTTATACCTTATAGACATTTAAACAGAACTTGATTTGTGGCTCATAAATGTGAACTCGATAAATTCATGCACAAGTAAGTGAGAAATAGTAGGGTTACCTGTGTCACCCGCCCCCTTTTGATCGTCGTGTGACTCGAGCGGGTGTCAGTAAAACTTCCACCTTTCCCTGTCACCTGCAAGATTAGTCTAATAGGTTCTGTTTGCTCTAGAAAATTGTTGACACTGTGTCTTTCTTTTAGGTTTTCCGTAAAGAAAACTGACCGTCAGGTTGGTTGCCTTCCCCCAGTACGTTTGGCATTCCAAGGAATCCAGTTACTAACGGCTCTAGTACACTGGTTGTGGTTCATACACATTGCGTATCCGGCCCACCTTATCTTCGACAACTTGGCGTATAGAACCGCATGTCTAACTTTTGATCGCTTACGTAGAGCGGAGCTTTGGCGTCCTTTCTTTATTTGTGCAGCATGGAATACTCCTATCGTCGTCCATTCCACTGTGCACTAAATAAGGATGAGAGATCTTTTGTCCTGCACACGTAGCCACCACGTTTCCGACGCACACGATAAAGCAGGGGGAATCGCGGTGTTCAAAAGGTGGGCATGGATTTTCGTGTTTTTTGTTCTCTTCACTACATCCCCGATGCCCTTGAAGGCTCCCCAAGCCGCTCGTTTCCTTCTGCTCAATTCTGGAGCTAAGTCGTTCATCATGTTGATTTCCCGACCTAGATAGACATAACTGGAGCATTCGGAGATATTCGTTCCCTTGAGCATGAATGAGGCATTCATAATCAATCCGTTTCTCATAAACATCGGTTTTGTGAGATTTATACGAAGACCAATTTTTCACACAAGCCTTATCAAAATCTGCAAGTATCGCTCTGCTTGGATAATATTTGGTGTTGTAAGAGCGATGTCATCAGCATGGCGAAAGTGGTGTAATTGCCGACCATCGGATTTTCGCTCTCATGTTGTCCCATTCCATTGTTTGCATAAGGTTCTCGAAGGTGGGCGTAAATAATTTTGGAAAGATGGTATCGCCTTCCTTAACTCCCTTTTTAACGTCAATGTTAACACAGCCGTGGAATGACGACATATTGGCTGTGAAATTCTATATAGCCAAAAACTTTCCTATATTGAGTAGGAACTCCATAGCTGTATAGACCTTTAAGAATTCTTCTCTCTCACTTAAATCAAAGGTTCCTCTAAATCGAGAAAATTGAGAGAGAGCAGTCTGTTGTGCTCTCACTATACTTCAACGAGCCTCATTATCGCATCAGTGTGGATCATCGTACTGAATCCTTTTGGGAACGCTGCATGCTCACTTGACTGTCCTTCGTCGAGTGTTCTCTCAATCCTGTTTAAAATGACACAAGCTAAAACTTCTAGATGAGAAGCAGTAAGCAGATTGGGAGATGGTTGCCGATTTCGTAGAGGTCACCCTTCTTGAAAAATAGCATGGTCTTTCTAGTCTTCATCTGGGAAAAACCTTTGCATTCTGGCAGGTTACGTAAGGAGAGTCGAGCCAGTGTGTTTACGTTAACTGCGGAGGGTTCATCAGGTGTTAAGATTTTATTCTGCTCGGACCAGGTATTGTTCGATTTGTCACCGACGAAATGGCATGACGGAATTCGAAAGGGAGAACAGGTGGTCCAACATATCCACCCTCTCTCATTTCATATGAGGGAAGGAGAAAGTGGCTATTGAAGAGATCTGAGTGGTAAGTTGAGCTGTTTTAAATTTTTCGGTTGGCCAATATCGGTTGACCGAAACCTTCGATTTGCTATTGTGTGGTCTTTTTCGTTATGGTACTCTCCATCAAGGGACTCCTGCATCTAGCTCTTGAGGGTGCGGCGTCTGGAATTGCGAGTTACCATGGATGGTCTTGGACGCCATGATAAACTCAGACAGCCGCTCACCTTGCTCGTTCCGATTTAATAGGTTTGTTCCACTGTGACGTTCATTGGATGGTCCTCTCCGTCCAATCCTAACGCCAACGTTTCCAATGAAGACCTTGAAGAATGTATGTTCTTCGCTGGAGCTTCTCCAAGTCCATACGGAAAGCTTCGAATTCTTCTTCGTCATAGCTTGATATCGGTGCGTAAATGACGAAGACTCTCAAAGCCTGGATTGATCCACATCATATAAATCGTAAACGGCCTATTCAGGATGCTAGTTGTTCGATGTAATCGATGTTCGTAGCCGAGCTCGCATTGAAGAGAACACAAACGTCGCGGACTCACTGTCGTATTGTTATACCTTTTTATTTTCAGCCTACTATAATTTCGCGGCAGGGTACTAAGCGAAATACAACCACAACGTTGCTGAGATATTTGCAAAACTCTGGACCGCAGGTGTCTATGGTGGGGAACGAACGCGCTATTATCCTTTCCGGGTAGTAACGCGTTCACCACCACACCATGCGGGTCCTTTGTTTCGCACGTCTCTCAGTTATTTCTACCGATCTTTTTGCCACAGCAATCACCCGTCAGCGGGGTTGATCTGGGGAGCGCAAATCGGCATAGAACCCAGTTAAGCTATGGCTGTAGTTGAAATCACAATGTTTAACGTTTTGTTTTCTGCCTTCTATGCCTTTCTGCCTGCCATGAAAATTATAGAAGGGAGATGTGCGAAACAAAGGACCCGCATGGTGTGGTGGTGAACGCGTTACTCCCCGGAAAGGATAATAGCGCGTTCGTTCCCTACCATAGACACCTGCGGTCCAGAGTTTTGCAAATATCTCAGCAACGTTGTGGTTGTATTTCACTGTCGTATGTTCCGAGGAACAGTTCTTCTGCGGTGCTATAGACGGCGTTGAATGGAGCTTGGGATCAGGAGAGCGAGGCTCGTTTATTTTAATTCGTTTGGCTCACTCTGGGAGAGAAGGAAAGCTACCCGTGAGTGTACCTATCCTTCATGGCCAGATCTCAGCAGGTTATGTGTGGATGTCAAAAAACCAAACACGGTAAAATAAACGGGTCTTATAATTTTGACCTCGAAAATGCCTCCTATAAAGCTAGGCCGTGTAAGAAGGACTACGGAGAGGCTACTAAAATGTCAGGACTATTCAAAGCTGCCTAAATCGCAATGGCCAAAGGTGGCGATCGATATCCACAGTGCATACACCACTGCACCTGATTCCTTAATAGAAGGCTTGACCATGCAAGAAAGAAGGTTAAGGGACGATGTCAACAGCCTGGCCGAGACGAAACGATGTCACACAAGCAACGCCATCTATGACACCGTCTATTAGCATAAATTGTTTATTCGGTATCGTGTTGTAACTAGTGTAACCTCGTGTAAGCTCAGCAGTGTAAAGGAATGTTGATTATTATAGCACCGAGGTTAAATAACAGTCGGTTTCAAAATTAATGTTATGCAATTCGCCATGGGCTAGCTAACATAATACCCACTGCTGCAGGGTGGATTATCAGTTGGAAAACAAATTATTATCAATTAGTCATATCAACAACAATTGCCCTGTATAAAAAAGCGTTTTAGGCCATTGCGATTTAAGTAGTTTAGAATAGTCTTGACAATTTAGTAGCCTCTCCGTGCTTTTCCTACGCTTTTGAGGTCAGGAATATAAGGCCTGTTTATTTTACCCTGTTTAGTTTTTCGACACCCACACATAGCTTGCCGAGATCTTAGCATGAAGCATGGGTAAGATGTGAAGGCGGATCGTGCAAAAAAAAGCCCAAAAGTGTGGTCGAGCTATTAGTCGATCTGATTGTGTATTGAAAAATTTGCTTACATATGTATATGAGATTGCCACATATTTCATTTTCTACTTTCCTTTTTAGTTTGTAGTGTAGTGGACCTATGCGAATGTATCCACCATGTACCAAAGTTTCTTATAGCATAAACACATCATCATAGTTAGAAAGAACTTTTTGGCATAAGCTTTTATTTCAGAAAATCTGCATCACGCATAGAGTTCGGTGTGAATTGATTTGAACGCACTTATGATCAAGAAGCAACATTGCCAATCAACTAGTACACCCATAGTTCACTGCTGATTTTTTGATAACAAGGTATTCAGTGAGTAGAGGAATTGGATGGAGTAATAGATCGATTGTTACTCTAAACACGTTTCGAAAACTGTCTCGCTTTTAAACATGTCTAGTTTTAAAATTTTCAGTAAATTGTGGACGGCGTTTTCTCTTCTAAGTTTTCCAGAGCAGTCTCTTCATCTGCAAATATCAACGATAAAGGGAAAAATTTAGCTCTGTGAAGAGCGTCCACGAAAAGAGGAAGGGTCCCATAGCTCTATAAAACAAGAATTTTCAGTGGAGAAATTTTAAAAATTTATATCCTTCTATCAAATATCTGTAAACTCTGTTAAATTCGCGACGAATAAACTAAAACATAAGCTGAGATATGTTCGTTTATTCACATCTGTCTCTATGTGCTCAGATATGTCTAAGCTTATAGGAAACTTTACTAATTCAAATAGAATTTAGTAAATTATACTAATGATGTATATCCACTAACGCCCTAGTGCTTAATGGTGATTACAGATGTTCTTCATCGCCGCCATGGAATATGTACAAAGTATTCACGCTTTACCAGAATCACCAAACATGAGAACAAATTAGACGTATTCGTCCGGACAAGTAAACCAGTGTCAGGTTTTGTTGGAATACTTGTAGAAACCCACTCACAACATGGTAAAATTTTTTCCGATCTACGACGTCTTTTTGCTTTTGACGACCTCTGGAACCTTGTTATAATACGTGTCACCAAATCACTTAAATACCGACTATATCCCTATGAACGACTTTATGTTAACCTCGGCATTGATCAAATAAAAGACTAAGCACCCCACTAGGTACGTATTGGATACAAAAACACAGCGAAGAAGATTTTGATGTAAAAGTCACTATCCTCACACAGGATACCAAAACACCAACGCGCAAACTTCTCGAGGCCTTCGAGAATGAATAGCAGGGAGATATACCTGGAAAACACATGTGTTCTCGCCCCATACTTTCGCATCGACTTTTGATGTGGAGTAGTGCATTCATAGACCATATGCGACTCTGATCAGCCGTTCTTCCTCAGTAGAAGGCAGCTAGCAAACGTTGTGTTCTTCGAGAAGCTGTTGATCGTGTGAATGCGTCTCAGCTTTCATCTATCTGCATGTGTTATTGGAGCTTCCGACGTAGTAAATTACTTGTCAATATACACTTCCAGGCTCTGAAGAAGGCAATACTGCCAAAACGCCAGCTTTAACGGAATGAAGAACAGAGTAACATCTCGTGTTTGCTTAACAAGAATATCGGGAACCGATTAAATAGTTACTTAAAATTCGAATAATCACGCTTAGAAAAGTTGTGCTTGTAGAAGTAACTCAATGCGCAGTGATCATGTTTTACAGGCTTTTAAAAGTGTAGCGATATTTTGAAAAACTTAGTTAATGACACAAATTTGTTAAACAACTCTCTGTTCTCGAGTAGAATGCGTTAACATTTAATTTGAAAACGTGGCGACAATAGATTCAAATTAACTCTAACGTCTACAAATTGTTTTAAATGTTGCAATCGAGTGTTCAATGCGTTCATCGTTCTTCCCGTGTCACAAATATACACAGATGCTGTTCACTACTTGCCAACGCGAGCAGCGTATATGTACGCCCGTTTGCCAACACGGGCGAAGTATAAACGCTTTCCCGGTAACGACGAAGACGACCTGCAAGCACAACATTTACGATCGAAAATGAAAAGAGGAAAAGATAATGCACTTCTGCTCCAAAAAGTGCGCACTCTGCACGAGTGACCTCTGTCTTCATTCAGATTGAGTAAGCCATGAGTAGGACTTGGGTACTTAAAATTAAGTACTTGAAGCCTACCTTAGCTGTTCTCATCACGGACTGCACGTTTTAGCTGCATAACAGAAAAGAGTAAAGCCGAAAATGGGAAATAATTGCAATTTGATGGAAAAGATTACGGATACACTGTCTTCGCAAATTTTTTTTATTGCGCGGCACTTTCGTGAAATTTAATGTAAAAGGAAAAAGAAATGAGCTTGCACTCATAGGCCGTAGTTCCACTTCTACATGTTCCATTCTAATTTCACCATTTTTCTGCTTTTATTTTTGACAACGATGAGGCTTGCGTAATCCAGATTCACCCAGCACAAAGCCTTCTGGTCAAATAGAGTTTTCATGAAAATGGTCTTAGAAATAGCGTCTCCTACTACAGGACGTCTAAATATTCAGCCTACATAAGCAAATATTCTGCACTAAGACCGCTTGACCGGTTACTGTATTCATGTTGAGCTGACACTAGGCTGTTAATATGAAATTTGTTCCAGAATTCTTAACGACTCGGTTGCATTGATGGTGCATACTAAGGAATTTCAACAAACTGATATTCCGGAGTGGTGGAAGAGTTAATAATTTTATGAGCAAAATCGGTTTTCTGTCTTACTGATGATAGGCCTCCTTGCCGTGGTTAACTGACAAATTGTCTAGTAGTTGCTGAAACCAACTTTCAAATGGTTTTGTGAGTGTGTGACACTTCTTTGTAGCGGTAAAAGGAAAACGCTTCTGTGCAGATCCGTGGAAACATTAATCACTTCGGAACAAACGCCTAGGCCAGCTCATCAAGAAATGGTGGTCTGTCGGTGAACGTCTAGAGCACTGGGAATACGCTCTTGAGAAAACATTCCCAACTCAAAGGTTGAAAAATGGTGTCAAACAACAGTTATGCGCTGGAGCCAAAAGATTATAGATGTGCTCTTCTCGTGTCGAAGCCTATGAATCTGAGTGAGAGAAACGTTCACACTCACGCAACGTCCTCAGCGTTGCTTGTTGATCTCTTGCCCACTCGAGGATATGGCACCAGCAACGACGATAGAGGCAACGCTGAACGTGTTATTCTTTGCAGCGGAAACGAATTCACTGAAATAAGAACAAAGTTTTCTATGGCTAATTTAAATAAGTACATTGCAAAACACTACAAATTCCACTTTTCGATAGTTTTAAAAAAATATTGTGTTTTGAGGCCAATAACTCAACGTTGAGGGCTACAACGGTTATGTGCTGAACCAATCCTTTAGCTTTATAAAATGAAACACTGCTCGAGTTTTTCCGTAGAGGGTTTCCACTTTGTCTTATGAAGGAATCGCCTTAATCTTGTACAAAAACAATAGCTATGATAAGTTATCCGCTCAGAGAAAAAATTGATGCGGAAGGAATGGCGCCGTATTTCTCGGAACGCCTTATAAGCAAGAGTGCGCAACAACTGAACATACCGTTAGGTTGGAAACGAGTACCGGTCGCGAAAGCAATGACCAACAAAAGCACTAGAAGCGGGTTCATAGCTGTGTGATAGAGTGCGGACGTGAAATGGTATTGCCTAGCAATTATATCTCAGCGGATACGCCATCCCTTTTAATATCCGCATAGGTACACAAATCGTAGGAAAGCCACTAGGACGCTATGCGCTAATCGCTGAAATGGCCAGCTCACCACACGACTACAGAATCCACAGGAAATTGAAATCTGATTCCCAAAAAGCATATCATCGATAACAGTAGAATGCAGATGAAGGAAGCGAATTGGTGACGAAGAACAAAAAAGAACAGTGAACTCTCACACCTCCATTGGTGGCAGTTCTTGCTTTATTTCACCTAAATGTCGTAAATGCAGTAGTTTGCGTGTGATATTTCGTATCGCATATCTCTTGGGTTCACGTCGGCATGATGATCTATTTGTAGCACTATGGGTCTTAGTGTTAAAATAACAGCACAGCACTTCAGAAATCGAGTTGCTGTTTGCTCGTCTCACCATATGATAGCCCGTTCTTTTTTCGTGCTCAATCATTTATCGGAACTAAAATTTACACAATATTTATGGCACTGACGCCTGGAATTTGCAGAAAATCGCTGTGAATCTACTTTGAGTTCAATCGTTCAAGACTTTTGTAAAGTCGAAGCGTTGGAGCTGTTCTAATGGTACCTAAAATTGAGTAGTGTTTTGTACTCTCTGTTTCACCTGAACCGAATAATACAAAAAAATTAGGAAGATGATGTTTTTAGATGACTCACTACAGCTGTCATAATGCAATCTTTGACAGTTGATACTTACTGACATGATACTTGATTGGCTCATCTTCACTGGTTGTGCGGGTCCCAGCGTAATCTCTATTTTTCAAAGATTTGCTGGTTAACCTACTGTGGTTCTCTGCAATTCCGAGGTCAGCCTGGTCAAAGTCCGCCTCAGGTCTTCACCACTACAGGCCGTCGCAGCCCTTGTGGATCAGAGAGAGATTTGCCACCATGCGACCTTGATACCAGAACAGTGGTGAGTCCTGGCATTGGTTTATTCTTAGCTAAGCTTTTTGATGGTAAAGTATGAATCCTTATCAGCTCTGGGAGACCCTGCCAGGGGATGAATCCACCGGTTTACATCGCAGTCCGGCACCGAGAAACACCTTCCAGCAACGATGAGGCGGTAAACCACTGAGAGGTGGAGGAAATCTCTGATAGCATCCTTATATTCGAAATATACTTTAGTAGGTGTTTGATATCTAGTTCATTCCATGCCGTTATTCGGTGATTCGCCTCTTTTGTGGATTGTTGTATTTGGTTGTAACATATGAAATGTTTAATTTTTAATGTTCTTTAAGTAACTATAACTTTTTCCTTACTAATTTTCATTAATCGAAATATTCACCAGTAGGAAAAGCACATTTTTTTTTGCAAAAATACAAGTTTTGCCACTCCATTAATATGAGAACTTTCTCATCTAGTGTCAGTAGATTCTTTAAGGGCATTTTCAACGGTTGTTTGCTCGTTGAAGAATTTTTCCATTTGAAAGTGGTTCAGATGCTTTACCAAAAATGAAAATCCGTTGGAGACAAATCTGGCGACCAGCGCGGATGTGGTAAAGTTTCCTAGTGCATTTTACTCAGCTTTCGTAATGCCATTTGGGAGAAGTGCGAGATTACGTTGTCACGAAGCAGTATTGGTCCTTTCCTACTGACCAATTCAGGCTCCTCGACGCGTAGTTTTCGATCCATTTCTTCGATATCAGCACAATATTTCTCCGACGCAATCGTTTCGCCAGGTCGTAAGAATTTGTAACGAGTAATACCGGCCATTGACCACCAAATGAAAACCACTGTCTTTCTTGCATGTAGACTTGGTTTAAGGCATATGTCGTGGGTTCTCATCGGCGCCTTGCCATTGTGCAGAACGGTGGCGATTATCCTACAGTATCCACTTTTCATCGAAAATTATAATGCAATTCAAAAATGGATCTCTCTCCTCTCGAATAAGTAGCGAATTGCAAATTTTAGGACGTTGGAGTTTTTGGCTTTCATTGAATTCGTGTGGAACCCATTTGCCCGTTTTTTAAACTTTAGCAATCAACTGTAAGTGGTGTGAAATGGTCATAGCACTGACACCAAATCTATCACAAGTTCTCGGACCGTTTGACGTGGATTTGAACCGACTAGAGTACAATGTGCCTCATCGTAAACCGTAATTTCTGGCCTACTACGCTCGTCGTTTGCAATGTTTTCGTCCCTCGATTCAAACTTCGTGTACCAACGACGAATGGTGCACTTGTTAGCAAAGCCGTCTCCAAGCGCGCCATCGATATTCAGAGGTCCTGCCGGCATTGTATCCACTCCACCGTTGGTGCAAAAAAAGCACGAATATCACATTGATCCAAACTAAAGCTAAAGCCTATAAAAATGCTAAAATAATAAGTCTTGAGAAAAACCAATACCAGATTGAGAAAAAGCAGATTTTGAGCTTTAAATGTGTATACTAAACATACTTAAACAACAAAATCTTTATTCCAAAAAAAAATTACATGTAACTTATAATGTTTGTGTCACTGAAAACTGAGGATAAGACTCCTCCAAAAAGCAAGAACAGTTTTGAGGAAGGTTAATGGAATATCATAATAAAACGGTTGCCATTGATCTTATTTTTATTCGAAATTTATTCCTAATTTTGTTACTGCACTGAGAAATAGAGAGGTCGTTTAGGATAAAAATGTGCCGTGTTCGCGGTGTTATCTTGTCTCCTTTTATCAGAATGTGCTTCTTATCGATAAGTATCCAAGGGATTGAAAAAAACTTTATTCGGCAAACTTTTCGGTCAGCTGTTGGTTCGACTAGCATCAGTCGACGTGATAGAATCGCGTCTAATCCAGCATATCACTGCTCGGATGAAGTAACCTCACTCAGCACAGTTGTTTGTGCTAATTGTCTATTGATAATCTTTCGTTTCCCTTCACACAATTCGTCCTGAAGCAGACGGTATCATTATCGGCTAGCACAAAGCGTAACAATACAGTAGCATTAGATAGCGAGGACACCGAAAGGCTAGGCGAGTTAAGTTTTCCTTCATCAACCTAGTGTTAGCTTGTTAGTGAAAAGACACATGTTGTTCAGTTGTACCGGTTAAAGGAGAGTCGCCTTTTGAGATATATTTACCATGAGTTTCGATAACTACACAATTTCCCTCTCCAAATAAACAAGGGAATTAGATCCAAGAAACCTTTACTGATCTGCGTACTGCTTTGCGTGTAACTTTTGCTACTGGCAAGTCGTTATATTATACCGTGAGCGTTTCTACCACACTATGATAAATGATAGAGAATCTTAACCCACTGACCTGAAGTGGGAAACGAACTGTCTAGCGCACGTCACACCGTCCACTGACGCGCTTAGCTATTCTCTAATCAAGAATTTCAGGATCAAATGACTCTTATTTACATCGCAGTATTACTGTTTTCTCTTTCAAGATTCCTGTATTGTGGGTATATTTTTATTTATCTGCTATTTATTGCAAATCTTTCACATTTTTTTATTACAGCTACTGAATGGTTCCCATACTACGGTGTGCCTCTGGGAGAGTTGAAATACCCCGAGCTTGGAATTCGTGGAAATATGTTCTTGTCAGATGATCACTCAATCGTTCTTGATAAATTTACTCATTCTCCTCAAAAAATTGGCTGTGAGTTTTTGGTTTTTCATATGACCTTCTTGATAAAACCCAACAATTTGATGAACACTTGAGAACTTAGAAGAAACGTTGAAAATTTTAATATAGGGTGCATGTCAGTTTTACTGTGCTTCATTAAGTCATCGCTATGTCAATATATTTTTACTAAGCATGATTAACTCATAGGCTCTGCTATGATGATAGGACCAGCACGTAGAGAGGATGGGAAGCAAGAGGTATCATATTCATGAGCAAATTTATCAAATAGCATGAAGCATTAGATGACACACTCCAAGGCTTTAAGGTAAGTGAAGGATTGCTGCTAGCGTACACGCAACCAAATTTTTCGTGGGAGGAAGCTCGAAGATTTCGAACGAGAACGAAAAGGTGGCAGGTTTATTTTTGTTATGTGCTTGGGAAATTTTTATCATATACAATTTTAGATGGAACTCTCTGAAATGGGTTAACAGTGTTACGCGTGAGTTTTCTCCTTTTGTTCGCACAAAAGAAGCTATGCCACATCTTTGCTAGTAAACGATTAGAAATCTATGACGAACTATTGCACGGGCCATAACGCATAAAATAAATGCAGAGAATATTCCGAAGAGTCGGAAGAATGCAAAAAAAACATAAAATAGATGTTTAGCGATTTCAAGACAACATCTAAAGGACAGTGTGCTATTTCTAACAACGCCTTCATATGAACATCATCCAAGAAGAGAACAGTAAGTGTAAGCATTAAGTACTGTCAAAACTGACGAAAATCGTGAAATAAGGAGTGAATTCGCCTAGGTTGGAAGCTACATCGATGCATGTTCCAGTCGAATCCTACGAAGTGTTCGAATATTTGGAAGGTGCAGAAGAAGCAGAAGAAAGTGATGAAAATGTAGACGTCCTCTTGTTAACACTTAAGGTAATCAATTTATGCTAATATTTTGTGTTCATCGATCAGATATTCTAGTAAGAAAACTGTATAACATATAACACTACTCTTCACTTTAAAAATCACCATTTAACATAGCGGTTGGTTTGCACGGAGCAACCTTACACCACTTTTTTAAAAATTAAACTTTGTCTTTTTCTTGATTCTAAAAGGACGTGTAGTGCTGACACAAAAGGAGTAGTGAAACGACTCGGACTGTGGCCATGCCGGGAATGTATGCTATTACCGAGTAGATATCCACTTGCGCTCGTTATCAAACTTATTAGATTCATGGGGTCAGTGTAGCGAAAGGGTTAGTGGTGTCACATAATACACACCGGAGTGATATCTGGTTCTATCCCGGATGTAAAGACTGTCAAACCATTCATCTATCCAGAATCGAAAAAATTATTACCAGACTTGACTAGGAGGATGAAGAAACCGATTTGCTACTTAAATTGGTCAGCGGAAATCACCCTATATAGGCCGGATACGCATTTAATTATCTCTAACGTTGACCAATGAAATTGAATGGTAGAGCCCATCTCTCAGGGATAGATTAGCGAAGAACCGATTTTCTTCTGCCCTTCATTGTCCACTTTCGCAGCATCGAATACTTCACGACTGGCACACAGATCAGCGACAGTTCTTCCAATTAACTTGTCGTTGCAGTGAACCACCACAATTTTATATTAAACCATTGTATTTGTGTTGCTGAAAATTTGCATGATTTGTAATTCTATCTGTCTTGTTTATGTTTCATCAATATTTCCTCCGTGTGCCCAACTATCACAATTCACGATGTGCGCAATGATGTATGTCCGGAAGAAATACAAGTTGTTACCACCGGACATTGTCATTATATATCTACCATCAGCATCGTGTATAAAAGGGCATCACTGAGTGAGGATGCCTCATTCGAGAAGATGGCTCGCTGAGGAAGATCTGGCTCGACAGGAAGGCGAAGACGCAACGTCGAGGCGAACAACAAGCATGGACCATCGACTCGGATCACCGGCTCTGAGGAAGACGAAGACGTCGAAACGTTAGCCGAAAATAAATATATTTATCAACCTCGTGCAAGCTTATCAAGAAATAATACATATTGATTTGTCACACCGAGGTTTAGGGAAGGTCGGTTTCGAAATATCACAATTCAGTGTAAAACTTATTTTATGCACTTTTGCTTTAAATAATTAGTTTACAACATAAATTTGTGTTTCTGATGAATTTTAAGGGTTAGAATCTCGAATGTCGAAGCTGCAGTTTCAACACATATACTTTCGCGATCTCAAAGTTGGACATAGTACAGCGCAAACGGCTTGAAAATGAGATATTAGGTCAAGAAAGTGATATGTACGCAAAGTTCAATGCTGGTTTGAAAGCTTTTATGGAAAACTCACGAACTGAATTGTCCCCTATGATGAGAACGCGAGTCTAAACGGCCGGAAACCGACGCCGCGAAGGTCGATTGAGATGTGCTACGAAACTCTGCCCCACAGCCCACATTCGCCAGACCTCGAAATTTCTAAATGAAAGAAATCACTACTGATCAGTCGCTCCGGTAACGAAACACAGCTCTTGGTTCAAAATCTAAGTGAAAAAATACGTTTCATGTAAACAAGAAGTACAGAACGCCATCTTGGTAGGACAAGAGAAAAAAATATTATGCAGGCCGTTAATATATATATATATAATCTTGTTTGCAATAAAGGCTTTACGCGCTAAGGTATTTTGGAACGCTACTGGGATCGACTATTATGTTGTCTCCAAACGAAGTCACGAAGTAAGTGTTACAATTTGCAGACGCTTTTTTTGACCGAAAAACGACTTCGAATTAGCATAAGGGTCGTTTCGAAACAATTCGCAAACATTAGGAAGGAAACATTGGGAACTTGACCCGTGGTAACGTCTTAAGACTAAGTATTATTGTATGTTTAAAGAAGATTGGGTGCGTTCAGCGCAGTTGTCGGAGGCGCTCTGCAATACATATGGAATCGATACCTTCGTACCATGCCCACCAAGCTTTTCCTTTCTCAGCGATCGTAAATTGGTGCGAGGTTTGTCTAAGAGGATAGTAGCACTGCCTCGATAAATCGGTAGGCCAGCGCGAGTCATTTCAAGGGAGAAGTATGCATTCAATCTCCTCCGACAATGCTTAATGAAGTCGAATGCATGGCAACTTCCTCAGGGATAGATCAATGCCGAGAGGTTTAAAGTATATCCTTTGAATGAGATTGCAAAAATTAGAAACAGTAAACAGTTATACTATTGTAAGCATACTTTCATTTAGCCTCAGTAAAAATGATCAGTGTGCCAGCTTTCACTGACAAGCTAACACGAGGCTGTTATCAAGTATTTATTCAGCCAACATTTAGACGTATTCGTCTTCCTCAGAGCATATGAAGCTTTTTGAGTCGGCTCAGAAGAAGGAGATGTTGAAACGTTAGCTGAATAAACATTTGGCAGAAAACCACTGTTAGCTTGTCAGTGATAGATGGTACTGCAAAGAGCCCTATGAAAATGAAGAACTTTTCAGCCGTGTGTAATAATCGACATTTTCATAGATGTTAAACACTGAAGTCACGTTAGTTTTCGAAATTCTAGGGCAATACGGGTCATCGTCGGCCACTCTCTACTACAACAACGTCAAGTATTCCTTTTCCAACGTTATTAACAGGTTTGAGCCTGATAAGAAAGAGATAAGGAGGAAGAAGACGAATTCATATCCGTGCAATTAGGCAAAAAATTATTTGCGAGCTACACTTTGACTGTTTCAGAGTCCTCCACTCTTTTCACAGCACCAGCTACTCCAGTGATCATCCTCCAGTAGGTATTTTTACTATGGACTTTGGTATTGCATTTGTAATTAATAACGAGGCATATGTCTTGAATTTCTTCTATGCAGGAAAGCGGAGAGGCTTCGTCTGCGAAACGTGGTTCGTTTATTTTGGTTTATTTTTATCCTTTGTTTAATTTACTTTGCTCTTTATGTTCATAGTTTTTATGTTTTGGATGAGAAAACATTCTTTTGGAATTATCTTGGTAGATAGCATGGAAATCAATGTGGGGATTGTGATCAAAAATAAGCATGCAACTTTTTTGAAGTAGTGGCGAATAACAAATATTCCTTCATGGGACCCTTTACAGGATATATAGGATATGGGACGAATTTGGACAGTAGACCAAAAGTGTGGAAAAAAGTCTTTGGTATTTTTTTTGCATTAAGAGAACTTTCATTACTATTTTTTTATAAAGGACCACCACAAATTTCAGAAAAGACCACCACCTGAACTCTCACTCCACCCATATTCGACCAACAACGATGCTGACGCAAGCATTTCAGAAGGTATTTTGCATGGAATATTCGGGAAATATGAACAGTCCTAATTTCCGTGTTGACCACAACATTGTCTCTGCCACTGAACATTGATGCGATAACTAAAAAATGTTATTGCGAGCGGTGAAAAAATAATATGTTAATTCTAGATCTCTTTGAACAAGAATTGCCCGTATCACCATAGAGCGCTGGTCTCCATCAAGTCTTTACCGCGTGCGAGAGAAACAAAAGTGTTCCAGTCTCTCAGGGAACTCGCTGAGTGTTATAACTTTCATCTATGGTCTTCGCGTCCGGACCGCCTAATTTGCGACATTTTGACGAGCTCAGCTGCATTTTCGATCCTTGTTCACTGATGTAGGTCAAAACGTCGGGTTCCCTCTCTCACTTCCGTGGCATGGGTTCATACCAACATCACTCTATTGTATTTCGCAGCACTAACGTGAAGATGTTGAATATGCTAGTCGTGTTCGTCAGCAATGATGTGGCTAACAGCATCTTTGCAAAAACCGACTACTGAGCCGAATAAATCTCAATATTGGTGATTTTTAGACTTCGTTTTCATAATTTTGTGGCTTTCTCTTATTTCCGTGTAGAAGAATCTTGCGTAGAAAGGGTGATGATAGGCAACCCATGTAAAGATGCGAGATGGCAGCGAAATCTGTTACGAAAACCGTCGACTTATCTTGATGTAGCTTATTTCGTGAGTTCTCATGAACGGTTCTTGCCTCCATAGTAAACTTAGACACTTGCTCATCTTTATTGCTCTGCTTTAGTTCTCGTTTCATGATAACACTTTACTTCGACATTCTAATCGGTCCAATTCTAGCGTTTCTATTAGCGATGGTGGCCTCAAAGAAGATACAGTCTTTGTAGAGCTTCTATTAGTCGATATAGAACTTCTTGCTTTCATCATAGCATCATGCTTTCATTGTAGCTTGACGTCGGTTCGTAAACGACGATTATTATAAAAACCGGGCCTTTTTCTTCTAGCATGGAATCTGATTTAGGTTATTATCTGTTTAAAAGATAGGAACACTGAAAGCAAATGGACTCATGTCAAATATCTGTTGCCTTCGTTTCGTTCACGGGATCGGAGGGCAGTGGACAGCTCTAGTGTGCCATAGGTTGAATTAAGACTTTAGTTGTGCTACTTGGAGCAGTTCATGATTATTACAATCACATGTGATACAAGTGTTATTAAATTGGAAAAAAAGTAATCCGATATCACATATTTCACGGATTCAGGCAGCCGTTTCATTCAACTATCGTTGAATGCTGCTTGAAGAAGATTCTGTCTGGAATCGTGAGATAGTCGCGCTAGTGCTTTACCAGGTGTTTAAAGCAGACAGACATCAACTTTAGTTTTTCCAATAGAACTTGTGTCCTCGACTCCGAAGGGTTAGGAGGCCTGGTTTCGTCTGGAGTGTGAGGGAGAACTAGGGCACACACTGATCTACTCTCTAAGCGACATATAAAAACTAGAGATTAATGATAAGTGCCGGCGAATCTGTATCCCATTTTTGCACTTGTAGATTACTGGGATTCTCCATTCTCGCTTCCACAAGCAAGAGATGTACAAGTTGCTTTTCTTCTCACAAATGGCGCTCGTTTAACAGACTATAAATGGATCGGACTCTATGATCAGTGTAAAAATGTGAGCGCTTCAGAACAACTTTCTAGAAACTAATACCTGAGATTCTTCTATTAATATTAACACTCATTTCTGGGTACGTGTTAAGAAATTTGATTTAGAAGTCCATTCCTCTTGTGTCGTTAGCAGATGTCGACCCTCCCAGAGAGGAGGAAATCGGCCAGATAAAAGGCCTAGAACGCAACATCTCGAGTGGAATTGTGCGCATACTGAATTGCAACACAATACTTGTTCCTGATTTGTACCTCGACGTCGATTTGAAGTTTCCACGTAAGATTTTCAGTCAGGATTCAACATCATTCCTGGGTGTTATTTGCGTCATTTCACACTCTCTGAATTGCTTCAAACTTAATGCCGTGTTGACATATGTGAAGTAATGATACTCGCGCATTAAACAAAGCAGCATTTAGAAGAACATTCTGGAAGCACTGGAATAACATTAACTACTGATCTTAACCTTTCTATTTACAGCCTATTCTTTTAAACGGCAGGGTATTTGCGAAATATAACTACTATATTGCTGAGATATTTGCAAAACTCAATAAGGCAAAAGATCGATACGACTAGCTGAGAGACAGGCGAAACGAAGGACCCGCATGGTGTGGTGGTGAACGCGTTATTCCCCGGAAGGGACAATAGCGCGTTTGTTCCCCACCTCAGGCACCTGCGCTCCAGAGTTTTGCAAATATCTCAACATTATAGTAATTAACTACTGAATTTGAAACACGGACATAGCAGAGATTTACAAGCGCTCTAAAGGTCTTTTCTTTTTAGTTTTCAAGTTCGAGCAGATTCAAAAAAGTGTGAGCAGACGATTTTGAAATTTCAGCGTAATTTTGAACAGAAAAGGTTAGGAGATGGTAAGAAGTTTCATGTAAATGCATTTTATTTCTTAATATGATGGAACACAACAGACGCATGTGGCGCAGGGGTCGGAGGCTCCCTGCAGCACACCTATGGAATTGATCTCCACGCACATAGCCCACCAAGCCTTCCGTCTCCCCGGTGTCGACAAATTAGTACCAGACTTGTCTGGGAGGATAACAACATTGGCCCGATACATCGGTAGGCCACCGTGTGTCATTGTAAAGGCCAGACATGCATTTAATCATCTCCAGCGATGCTAAATGAAGTCGAATACATGGCGCAACCCTCTGGGATTGATCAACGCCGAGAGCTTTATCCCTTATTTGTACAGAGACCGAAACACAAATACAGCAGAGATTGACAAGCTCTTTAAAGATCCTTTCTCTTTAATTTTCAAGTTCGAGCGGATTCAAAAAGTATGAACGGATGATTTTGAAATTTTAACGTAGTTTTGAACAGAATTGGTTGGAAAACGGCGAAAGGTTCCATGTAAATGGATTTTCTTTCTTAATATGATTGCAAAGCTGGCGACACACTTAAAGAAGCCCAGAGAACTTCAGACTAACGCTGCACCTTACTTCTTCGGTTGTTAAATGTTGAAATTTTTCCACTTTCTAAAGAAATGTAAGGTTGGCTGTTTTCAATGCTGGCACTTTTCTTTATAGATATGTAGAGATAGAAGCAAAGAAAACTTGATTACTGAGTTTTCACCTCGCTGAATTCGTGAATTTGTATTTTCACACTGTGTTTAACTTTCTTACCACGCTATAGATTTTCTAAAATTGTCAACAGTGGGAATATCGAACATATCTGCGTAGAAGATGGAATCATGTCACCAACTTTGCTGATAACTTTAGACACCTTTTTCTTTGTTGGAGTTGGAAACTTGACCCATATAGTTCATCAAGTGAAAGGTCGAGCAATCGGATACGAACGGTGAGTTACTTGTCTTTTCATTTTAGAGGCTGGATCCAGCACTGTAAAACAACGTTGAAAGAAGTCAAAAACTAGACCCAATTCCAGAAATGATCCGTTAGAGAAGCATACAGGAGACGCCTTAATGATTCGTTTACCACGAAGAATTCGAACGTTTGATGTCGATTTTTTGTCGATTTACAATGAGGACGAAAAGAAAGTATATGGCTACATGGATCTTCCTAGTGTGCTAGTTCCTCCCTGTGCTGACGATATTTAAATTGCTTCGATGTAACATCGGGATAGTCTCATCTGTCTATAGTCCGATCTTCTATCTCTATAGGAGTTTGTCACGAATCGTAGCTGAGTTAATTCCTAGGCTCGTGCTCTCTGTTCTGTGTTTGATAGAATTCTGTTCAATCTTATCAATTTCACAACTTGAGAAATTTCACTGATCCGGTTCTCGGTAGCTGCGAAGTCATCTCCAAAATTTATGACTGAGCTCGAATTACCACCATTTTTTCAATTTTCGGAAAACAGTGGAATAATGAAAATAATTGAAAACACATAAACATTTCTTGTGATTGGAGGTTTTGAACCTAATTATAAGCAAATGTGGCCTAAGATATTTTCAGAGTTGTCACTTGGATATAAACGCTTTGGATTTCACTGAACTTCTTCAATAATTAGCACCCACGAAATTGTAGGCAGCGAAGCGTGTGCTGTTTACTGATAATGAGAATCGCCAAGAATGTTTACTTCACATGACAGAGAATGCAATGCTATTTGCATACTAGACAGTTCTCGTTTTCTTCTTCTCGTATAATGTATTTAACGTATTTAATACTTGATAAATCAGCTGTGAGTCACAAAATGTTAAAGTTAACCACGATGGCGCAGATCACAGTTGCAGATGTGTATACTACCGAATTACTGTTGTTATTCTTTATCACAGGCTGTTGTTATACGGTTGGTTTCGTAAAGACACACTCTTCCACTACTTTGAAGTACTCAGAGCATACAATTCTAAAATCTGGGCGCTTATGAGCGCTGGATATGATCATTCGGTTTTTGAGCGATTTAACACTCGTAACAGGGCGTTCTTCTTCTGAACAGCACCATTGTTCGTTTACCATGGCTCTTAGTATGCTGTACAAAGTGTAAAAGGACTGTTAATGAGGTTCGTTTTCCACGGTGATTCACAACCAATAGAAATATTTAGGAACGATTTTCATTAATATTCCACTTGAACAAATTTTCCCACTTAAACATCTATCCATCTAGTATGTATTTACCATGCGGATTCGGCCTCTTAGTTGTTCTCTCAGCCGGCGGTCAACTAATTACTTCACAAGAATAGATGTTACCTAGGAAGAATCCCGATTGCGTGGTAATAACCATTCCTCCGATGTGTAGGGAAAAGTGAGTGACTATGATGTCTACAAGGAAACGCCTTAAAACCGCTATCTCAGAAGTCGGCTAAAATACCCAAGATGGCCAACCAGTGTTTATAATGCCAGTGCGGAAAGGATTTTACAGATTCTTATGGAATCGACACCTGCACACACGACTGTGGATGGAAGTTACAACACGACTAATGGAGGGAGCACTGGAAAGCACGCACCTTGTGAAGACGAGTGATCAAAGTCTCTAAGTAGGGACTGTCACGCATTTAGAGCCTTACAACTAATTTCAATTCTCTCTCTTGCCTTCTTCCTGTCTCCAACTATTTTTTCAGGTGTTTTTCATTTGATAAAGAACGACGTGGATATCAGAGAGCGTTGCGCGATAATTTGAGAGCAATGCGTTAAATTTGTGAGGAGAAACCATAACCGAGTGCTTATTAGGTCAAAGAAATATAAGTAGTTTAAAAAAATAGCCATGATTAGAAATTGACCATTACAATTCTTTCAGTCTACCGAAGCTTCATCCTTGATGGCTTACGGTGCTCTACCGTCGACAAGATGAAAGCGATGACATTTTAGAAGGAAATGGACTGAATTTAGTTTGGTTATCAGCGGTAGATTTAGGCCAAGTTCATATATTTTGGCTCAGTGAATAAATGGATAGAAAAGCAGCGCGATAACGAGAATCCACGGGAAGGCAACCCCATTCATTCTGCATTGTTTTTATTTTTCCTTTCGTTAACCGCTTTTATCATTCACATATGAGTGCTTGAGACTTATTGAAAAAAAGACTTATTTAAAAAGTGAAGAGTAATATCACAAATTAAATAGTTATCGATGAATGCCTAAAAACCCAAAGTTAAAGGGAAAATGAAAAAATGGCCAAAAAAGAGAAGTTACGAATTATTTTTAAATATCGCAATGTCAGATTTATACTTAATCCAAGGCAGGCAAAGCTAATGAACCATCATATCATGGAAAGCTTAATTTAAGGTTTAGCATAACTGAAGTTTTGCTCATTGTGTTAAGCATAACTCACACATAGCGCTTCTGAGGCATGTATTTTAATTCGTGAAAATGTCTCTTTAAAAGAAGCAAGGAGTAGAGACTTACCTTTCTCATAAACTCTGAACTCCGCATTTGCTTCTCAACAAAAGCTGACAGATGATTTGCACAGATGGTTCATGGATTTCAATAAGAAGAAGGGCGTTAACAACAAATGAGAGAAGATTATACAAAAATAGGATTTTTTGCCCGAAATTAACAAACCTTTCCGGATGGAAACTCAAAATATCTTCTAATTATTTTTGATGGAATCAGGAAATAGGATTGTTTAGTCTCATAGGCACCCTGATCAATTGATTCCTTGTATAGTTTCGTCTTCCGAAGTGCCTGCGATACATTGACAGTTTCACTCATAAATCAAAAAGCCGTTTTTAAGAAAATTTATGAGATATCTGTAATGAGAACAATTCTAGTCAAAATATCACGCTACTATCACTTACAATAAAGCAATTATTCAACAATTTAGAGTGTAGAGGCAATGTTGTGCACGTGAATCGGTTTCCTACCACGCTGGTTTCTAAGCTAAGCTGAATAAGCTCAAATCCTTTTCCCTAATTTCATAATTACTAAAAGTAAACGTACAATAGCTAAATGTAGAAAATTATACAAAAATACCTCTCTAATATTTTAAACAGCAGGGAAGCATCGAGGTGATCTGACGTCTATAGCGAATTAGTCAGGTAGACGACCTACATTTAGCGATGTGTTCGCCGATAGCCTTTTCACAATATGTCCTATATTCGAGTACCATCTTGCAACAATCCTTAGAAATAATTCACATCCTCGCTTTCCTAGCTTTTATATTGCTTACTCAAAAGGTGATTTTTCCGTGTTTTGCACAGATTTACTTTAAGTGCAGAGCTGCTATTTCCGACGAGTTGCTCAAAGTCTGCTTATAATTAGTTAATTTTAGGCAACAGTTTAGCCGTTCCAAGCAAACAAGTCAGGTATGTGGATCGTTTGGTTGCTTGCGACGATGAATTCTTTTGTCGGGGCTGATGAAACAACTCTCGGACCACGTTCTGGAATGGCCTTTGCACAACGCTTGGTGGATACATTGCCACGTCTTCCTAACGTGATTCACAGCCAAATGGAAGGCAAGCCAGAAAAACTAAGGTATGTCTTCTTTCTACAAGAAAAGCGATATTCATCTTTAATGCTCCTAATTGTGATCATCTAGAGAGATGATATCACACATGCTTGGTGATGGTCTACTCAGTCAACTTGTTGTCGACCCTCTTGGAGTGAGGATTTCCTTTAGTCTGTTGATGTAATCATTCGATTTAGATAACTAGTTTTTAGGTCGCCGAAGGCATGGGAGTTCCACTCAACAGTTTAGGCATCAATAAAACAGCTGTGGAAAAGAAGTTTGATTTCTATCCAAATAGCACTCTCAGTGAAAAACTGTTCAATAATCAAAAACTTTCCTTGTTTCCTTTGTAAGTACAGCATAGCTGAGAAGGAAATATTCCAAGCATGAAAATACATTAGTACTCAATTGCTTCGATGCTTAGCGTCACTGGAACGCCTACAACTACGGAGAAGGTCATGTACCTAGATGGCGTCCCAATAAAAGATTTTGATCAGTTTGTCAGGTATTTTTTTAACTAAAACCGCTGTATGAAATGCTGAGATATTTGCAAAACTCCGGACCACAGGTGTATGCAGTGGGAAACGAACACGCGCTGTTGTCCTTACCGGGGTGCAGCGCACTTCACCACTGCACCATCCAGGTCCTTCGCTTTGCATGTCTCTCAGCTAGTTCTATCGGTCTTTTTTGCCATCAGCAATTACCCGTCAACGGGATTGATCTGGGGAGCCAATATCGGCATTGAACCCAGTTAAGCTGAGGCTTAGTTATAATCACGATAGAGATCTGTTACTGTTATACTGTTACTGCTAATACTGTTATAGAAGCAGAAATCTAGAAGGACGTTTTTCAACCAAAAGCCCCATAACTACCACCACTCCGCTTCCATCTGCAAACGATGTAAGATACAGCATTATATTTAACTCACTGACAAAATTTCACTGTTTTTTATATCTTTCAGATAGCAGCAGCTGTCCTCGACAAATTGAAAATGTCATTGCCATATTCTCAGGTGTTCTTCAAACCATTCAAAAAAAAGATTTTTTTTTGAAAATATGACGGGAGTTTCTAGCAGCAGCAGCCTACAGTTGGACAAAAGCCTATCACAAACGACAATTTTCACAACCTCAATGTAAATACGCTTGATTCAAGAAGGATTCAAGATGTGGACACATTACTGAGGAGAGCACCTCAGAAGTTTGGTGAGTTCAAAACAGATTTTTCACACAGTTACTGTGAAGTTATTTTCATAGCAAGAACTGTGAATGCGATAATGAAGGAAAGGAATTGCTCCATGAAAATCCCATCCTTCATAGCGTGATCAACCTCTGAGAATTAGTATGCCAACGATTAAATAGAATGTACAACAGCAAATGTAAGATGTATAGAAGTAGAATTCTTCAAGATATGTTAGAAGGGGCCGTTGGTAGTCTTCCCACTTCTTTCATTCAATCATTGGATCCAGAAATAGATGAGGTAGTGACGAGCCTTCGTACCGGCAACGTGATGAATGTTGAAGTGAGTTAAAATCTGTAGAAAACCGCTTCCAGTGTTAATCTGTTATCTTTCAGCGTGTAAGACAGTTGCAAAGCATTTTACAAACTTACGAACAGAGTCTTCAAACAAAAGAATTAATCGCAAAACGAAAACAGTTGCAACTGTTGCAAAGCGAGTTGGTTGAGCAAAGAAGGAAAATAGAGGAGCAAAAGAGAATGGAAGAGGAACTGAGAAAAAAGGTATGGAAATGTGGTATCGGAAGTGGCTATTGGAATGACTTAGGTGCTAGCTGATTGGCTTTCTAGGAGCAGGAGCTGGAAGAACAGAGAAAAAATATGGAAATTCAGCTCCGGCAGCAGCTGCATATGTGGCACAACTCCTTTAGTGTTCCAAAGGTCACTCAGGCGTAACCGGTTGTCTGTATTCCAAAAGTAAGAAAGCGTTTTTACAACTCATGAAAAAGCCTATTAAGGATTCATTGTCTTCGCTGGACTTCTCCAAATCGAATGAGCATTCAAAGCAAAACTTGGTCAGTTAGCGTTCTTTATTGTAAAGGATCTTGACGTTACATCACCCTCTTTCAATTTTTTTCCACCTCTATTCCCTCAGTAGTACCCATATTTCAAAACAAAACTGCTCAAGTCAAAGAAGATATGAATTTTGTATAAGTAACCGTTTTTTTCTTAGGCAGTGGTGCTATCATGTCTTCATATATTTTCCAGTAATGAACACAAAAGTGCATTCAAGCATAGGTGTCGCAGTCGTTAACAGAAAAAGATTCGTTGGTGTTGCTTGAACCACAACCGCACGAGTCGAGAGAGATAGAAGTGCCCATTTCTAAAAGTCAAAAGTCGTTTCCAATAGTTTCGGAAGCAAACCAGGTTCGTTGCTGCTATTGAACTCTGTTCAACTCTTAAGAAAGAAGGTTTATTGAGGACAAACAAGAACGCCGGCAAACAACGAGTCAGCCTTTTGCAAAAGGCATCGCATACTCAGCTGACGACAATGTGAGGTACTTGAAAGGGAATGTTGAGGAATTTGAATCACAGTAAGTCGTGAGTCCTGCCTGATAAGTTGAAAACTAGTGTAGCTGAAATATTTTGCTAAAGTGATTGGTACAAGTTTCAGCGAGGAATCCGAAGAGATTGCATCATCATGCTCATGCCAAAAAATTTCCTTGCAAAAAATGAAGGGAAAATGGTTGATGGCCCTTGCGTCTAAATCTTTGATAGGGAAGATGGAGGTACGATTAAAGCAGTTGTTAAAGGACGTCTCCAACAGCCAGTTAAGCTGCAGCACTTTAACCAGTAAGTTTGATGAGGGACACCGTTCCTGAAGCTTTATGCGAATCATTTTCTGTGTTTCTTGCTTCTGTTTCTGCTTCTTGCATGGTTCTATAAAGATTTTATACGTAATAAATATTAAGTGTCAACACCAAAGGTATCAGTCGTGGCTCAAGATGCCCCGATTTCATGGGAATTTCGCACAACGACATCGCCTAAACTTTACCAGGTAGTTTATTTCAGTGTTCACCCGTATTATGAAATTAACATTCACGTCGAACTAAGCAGCAATTACAGTGTTGGCCATTGTTTGTTCATTTGCAATGAAGCTTGACCTATAACGCTTGAGACACTTCTAGAGCGATGTAGAATTGCAGTCAGTGATCAGCAACGATAAGTGCTTGACACTAAGTATTTTTTGTGAATATTTCTGATTGCAGCTGAGTGGTAGTGTCCTTTCGTTGGACCATAGATTAGTACAGCTGCAAATCAGCGACTTAACAAGCGATATTCTCTCAATACCGAGTGAGTCGATTTATCCATTTGTATGTGTTACCCGTGTTTTTAGACGTTCCTTGCAACAAGTGTACAAAGAACAACTAAATAATCAGCGTGTATGCAATGGAGAACGAACACGCGCTGTTGTCCTTACCGGGGAGCAGCGCACTTCACTACTACACCATCCGGGTCCTTCGCTTTGCATGTCTCTCAGCTAGTTCTATCGANGCTGAGAGACATGCAAAGCGAAGGACCCGGATGGTGTAGTGGTGAAGTGCGCTGCTCCCCGGTAAGGACAGCAGAGCAAGTTCGTTCTCCATTGCATGCACCTGTGGTCCGGAGTTTTGCAAATATCTCAGCATTTCATAAGAGTTATATTTCGCAACATACCCTGCCATTAAGAAGAAAAAGGCAGTAAATAAAAGAGTTAAGATTGTAAATAATCAGCAATAATCATTAACCAATGAAACACTATGTGCGATGTTAAAGACATTTGAACAATCTCAAACATCAAATATAGAATTAAACCATGTTGTGGACAAGTATAGGGCTGGGTAGCGCAGTGACAGTGATACCGTTCATCACGAGCACAGTACTGGTTCGACCCCATGTCGGGCTGACCATGCCTGTAATTCCACTGGAATGCGCAGTATTGGTGACAAACTTCTCCGGTTCCACTTCGTTACTTCAAATCCACACAGGAACGCTCTAGCACCGCTACCCTCTAGCACAGCTATCTCAGAAATAGAGAGTCGGCTCAACAAGAATTCAACTACCTTCATAAAAAAAACGACAAACCTCAAGCAGCAGCCAAAAGCACGGGTGAAAAATGCGAAATATTTCGTGGACGATGAATGCAAGGAAACGAATCTAAATCAGGAATAAAGGGGATCCGCACAGTAGTTGTAAAGACGGGTTACGTAAAAAAAGAAATTAAGGAAAAAACATTAAGCTAGAGGATCGTTTCGTAAGAACAACGACATTGTTTGAATTGAGATTTTCAAGGATTACTCTGGCAGTGCAACGGCCCATTAAACATATTATTATCTAGTAAAGTGACAGTAAATACATGCATTCGACGTTGTTAAATAGCAAAGCTGCTTGCTCTCCTTTCGAGGAATGGAAAGCTCACATGTGTGCATGATATGTTTAGGTCTTATGTGAAACAGTGTGATTATCATCATGTTTTTCTAGGATAAATTATAGGCCGCAAATCATGGTCATAAATATAAACTACATAGAAACATCTTCTACTTCAAAAAGGCAATGGGTGTTTTTAAAGCATGAACTTGGTTGGTCGTAAGAAGTACGTGAGCCATTCTTTTCACTAAAGTTTTTTTCTGTCATCTTCTCGACAATAGCTTCTATATGCCATTCGACCAGTGATTATCATAGAACTCAAGTAAGAGCCTTTTAGTTCAGAGTACGTCTTTGGATACTGTGACACTACATGAGCACTTCTCATTGATACAAATAATCCGTTAGCGGTGGAATAAGAGTGTAGAATGCACGAACAAACAGAGGTTGCAGTTTTAGCTCAATGAATCTTGCTTGCCGTGTTTTTCGCCTTTTTTATTCCTTTATTTATAAAGCAAGGTAACTATGCAGAGCTCGGTGATCAAATGGCGCTAGGGAAAGCCTCCAATCGAGTGCGCACTTTCTGTCTGTGTTATTGTCTATTAGGAGACCTACGCTTAAAGTGAACGAACATTCAATGGTGTGCGAAGTTGCCACAAGTTATTGATGATGTGAATGAACATTAGAAATCATGGTGGTCCAAAACTTTAATTTCTGCATTTTAGCTTTTTATATGGGAATCTGTTTTTACGTGACCCATCTTCACATATATTGTGAGGGTCGCAAAACTTCTTTCACTCCATATATTTTGTCTGGTGCCAATTCTCCGACTGGGATGGGATTCGAAAACGATGGGAATGTAGAATAGAAGGGTGGTGAATATTTAAACGCATCACCACCACTGCGTCCGCGTCTACTGCTAACGATATTCAACCTTAGAAACACCCCAAACTACACATTTCTTTCTCTGCTTTTCGAAAAAAGTTTTTCTCATAATTCAGTTAGGTTTTATAGTGTTAAGCAGTAAGCATAATCTTTATCTCAATTTAACGATAACTGGAACAACTGAGGAGTTGGAACACTATTGACCTAAAGAGAGGAATTCCCTCCATCCACCCTTAAGTAACTACGAACCTCTAAACCGGTAATTTAAAATTTAAAGTTGTTTGGAGTTGATATTTAGAAAGCAAATGCAAAAGAAATTTGTCTTTTATTAAATGTCAAACAAAGTCGCAACCTTACATCAGCTCAGAAGTTTAGAAACAAAATTGTCCGTAGTCCTATTTTTTCCACCGATGACGTCATAGGCGAGAATACCTGTCTTATTTAAAGTTAAATTTAAAAATTTTTCGACAACCATGTAAACCTTAACAGGCACGAAAATATCCGGTTGTGGCTTTGATTTCGGAAAACCGATCATACTCTACTTTTCCAGTATGTGTGCTCAAATTGTCTGGTGACTCCGCATACGACTACATGGTTGTGACTAGTCCCAACGGTGTGTTACCTCTTCAAATGCATATATCATTGTTTCTTTTTTTCCCGTACTGCTTTGATTCGTATATCCGACTTGCCGATCTACTTTTCTTCAGGTCCTTGCAATGAAGTTGCCCTAGTTGTGAGAAATCTGGATAAATTTTTCGACGAAAAAAACAACGAACTCGTCACGTTTTTGAGAAATGTAAGTGTTATTTGACTAGTGAGAAAAAATGTCTCCACGATTTCTTTGCAGAAAATCGCCACTGAAGAGATAAACGACATGGATATTGTACCATTCGCGAACGATTGCTCTTAGGGAAAATCCTGGTGTGAATGAAAATCTTCGTCACTCATCTATTTTGCTCACTTTATGATCTGAGCTTCTCTTTCCCTTGGTTGCATTCACCCATCACTGAAACTGCGATAGTGAGAAGAAGCAATAATAACATTATTACGCAGGTATATAATACTAAGTGTACGTTAAATCAGAAATAAGGCATAGAAGTAGTGAAAATTGCACTGACTAGAATAACTGCTGTTTTTACTCATGATTAACACTGCAAGTGATTATGACCATACTAACACAGTTCTTCTTGTTTAATATAATAAATGGGTCTTTTAAAGAGATATTCCAACATCAGATATTGCGCACCTCATTACTTCTTGCATTCAATTCATTCTCTCGCATTCTTCATCCACGAGGATATACGGATTGTGCGCGCGAGACTGAAGCTTGGGCAATTTCGTTTTCCTCGTGAATTTCCTTAAAGGTCGGGCTAGTCTATTCTTTCTAGAATTCTAGAATAGTCATGCTAGGGCGCTTCTACGTAGATTGGAGGTGTTTGCTGGCTTCAGACGAGTCCGACATCAATTTCCCGACCCGAAGCCTGGGGAAAACGGGGCAGACACGAATCATAGTCCTGGTTGGTTAGGTGTCCCGCGTAGTCGACGACCTGACTAACACTGCGCTACCTGCTGCTCCCTTTAGATTGACCATTTACGTAAACATTAAATGAAAGTTTACTTCTAGGGAATTACTCTTAGTTTTTTTTAATGTCTTGGCAAATGTTCTCTAACCATCGTCTAATAATAGTATTAATAATAATAATTACTATTATTAGCATTAATGCTGCATCCTCACGCTGCCCACTTCATGGTTGATCATAATCGGAATTTTTCTTGAAAAAAAAGTGAAATGGTGCGTAAAGGGCGAAATTTGACCAAATGAAATTGAGAACAAGTTAAAATTCCATTTTTTAAGTAATATTAAAAACTATTAAAGCTACTTCTTGTTAGTTTTAAACTAGTACCGTCATTCAGATCATAGATGAAGCTGTGCTCGCTGGGTTTTTTAAAGTGAGTTCTTATGAAATATCAATACGGGGTTCACCTATCACCTATATGACCCTGGTTTACTTACTTACTTCGATACTTGGGCGGTCAGGCTTCACGAATTGTGCGGACCCCATCACATTTGTCATTCGTTTCCTTCTGTCGCAATCGTCGTCCATAGTGGTGACTTCATTACAGCATGATAGCGCTTGCGAGTTTATACCGCGATCTACAAAGTAAATGCAGCTGCGAGTACTGCCGATTAACTTTGGTTACGAACATGTTCGCTCAACGTGTATGGTGCATGTGGCCTTCCAATAGAACACCTGCGTTATTGTGGAGCCCACTCCACAGTTCTTTTCCTCCATTTGTCGTCCGTTCTTCTCATTATGTGACCGTCCCATCTGTCTGTCTCTATCGATGTATCCTTCTAGATCCCGAGGATGTGACAGATTTCGAAGGTCAGAGTTTCGCATTCGGCGAATCCTTGGGTCCTTCGGTTGGTCATTGGCTTCTTTGAAATGCCTAAATGCGACCCATCTTGCTCTTCTTTTTCTGTCTAATTCCTCCTCCATGTTGTTTTCTATGTTAATTGATCGCCCAGGTATACATACGAGGCGACCTATGCAACCTGATAGCCATCCAGTTCAATTTCCCCTGTTTACCACTGAGTAATTCAAGCTGGGAACCAATAATCTAGAAAGTGATTGCTGATGCCAAAAGAACGATAGAACTAACTGAAAGACAAACGGAACGAAAGGCCCCTGTGGTGTGGTGATGAACGCTCTACTCCCCGGAAAGGACAATACCGCGTTCGTTCCCCACCGCATACACCTGCGGTGCGGAGTTTTTCAAATATCTCAGCATCATTGAAGTTATATTTCACAATGTATACCCTGCTGTTAAAAAAAGTAGGCAGTAAATAATAAGTTAATATCTGGAAAGCCTTCATTTATACATGACGCTTGCTAGGCTTTCCCAGTGAGATTCTTCTTTCCAAGGAGAATACCGTAATCTGCCTTACAAAGAAATGTGAGCGTTCGAACATTGGCCTTCATGTTATGCTCTTCAAATTCTGTGCAGAAAAGTTACCAACGGCTTATGTTCGCCGGTGGTCGCATGGAAGCAGTACATACTGAGCCTCTCTGACTTACCACATTTTTTCGTATACAGTGGCGTCTCTCATCTTTTGTTGCACGACGGGCTGTGGACACAAGACAAAGTTTTGAACTTCTTGTTCCATTTTCCTGAAAAGGCAAACTGAGTTACGGCGATAGACTTCATATCTCTTTTCAATCGCTTGTGTAGAGTACAAGCCTACAAACCATTAGTAGCGAAACATACGTGGGCTTAAAAGGGCCAGATATGGATTCTGGCTCGTTTTCCTAGTCAATGCATCGTCAAGGCCGTATCATGCACGCAAGTTTCTACTGATCATCTCAGTTCGTAGGTCATTCATAATGTTGAATTACGACCACTGTAGACACAAGCAAAGGTTTCGAATATGCTAGTGGGGCTGAATTTGAATGGTACATCAAAAGCAAATTCCCTCTTTGTGGGAGTTATTATCTTAAGAGTGGTCTTTTACATACATTTCTTCTTATACGTGTTTTCTTGCTCTGCCAGCAATCGTTTCATCTAGCTGAAAAAATGACAATATAAAAATGGTGTCATCAGGAAAGATTAAGCTGTAACCGCTGACTTCTGTCTTTAAGGTAAGCAGTTCCACTTTCAGGTGAGATGAGGCCATCAGTTGTGCTTAATTATTTGGGTAAATTGTGTGGTCTTGTAGTAGATCTCATGTCAATATTTCGGTAATTGCGTTCGCTTGAATCACTCTTTCATATAACGTTTTATCAATCTCGTTTACGATGACTTGAGAAAATAGCTTGACGTTGAACGACAACCAAATTGTTTAACAGATGCAGTTTCTGTATTTGTTAGATTTTTGTGATGTAACACGGTC